AAGGGAAAAGTGACTGAGTAAAGAAAGTAAGTAATAATGCATTTGACTCATCCTTCAATGCTGCAAAGGCCTCTGTCAGGAGCAGTGGTCGTCTCCAGACTTACATCTCCTGGACTTGGTCAGGACCAGAGCTTTAAAATATTGCCTATTGTACTGTACATGTGTTTAGGGGTAGGGGAAACCGGAACACCTGGAGGAAACCGGAGCACAAACAGGGAGAACATGCAAAGTCCACTCAGAAAGTCCCAGTTCTGACCAGGATTTGAACCCAGGACCTTCTTGGTAAGAAACAAGAGTGCTAACCACTCAGCCAACATTGCAAGTTGAAGCTTTCAGAATGAGGTCCAATTGAAAAATTAGAAAAATGTTCCAAAATTATTTTATTTCTGTAATTCACATTCAAATGTGAAACCATTATAGGATGTAAACCTATTACTTGTAAAGTGACATAAGTCGAGTCTTTGTCATATTTTTGATGATTATGGCGGTCTCACAGTCTACTTTCAAAATATTCTAATTTTCTGAGATTTTTTAGGGTTTTTACAGCTGTGACTCAATAATCAACATTATAACTTTGTGTGTACTGAGTCTGCCATATCAGTTTCACATTCTAAGTTGAAATGCGAAAGGAGTTCCACCTGTGCACTTTTAGTACAGGTACAGTCAATGCTAAAACTTATGGTTTTTTAAGTGTTTTATTTATTGAAAACGTAGTCCTCAAATCCTTAAAGAAAATGAATAGACAGCTACATATGTCCTTTAAAAAAAAATCAAATTATTGCATGGAAGAGCCATCACTACATGACTTTTATGTGCTTTCCTCTTACTGACCACACATTTTTCCATGCAAATGTCTTCACAAACACTTATAATATCTCTTAACCTCGCTCTATATGGTCCTTCCAATAGTTACACAGTTCAATGGGAGAAACCAGGTCTAATGAGGATGAAGTCTTGGCTTATTTAGCAACAGCCGCTCGGAAATGGATTGAGGAGATGGTTTGGATTAGATCAAAGATATTCTGATGGTTATTGTAGAGCACTGAAATAACAGGCTTTCGAGAAATGGCCGGTCCAAAGTATGTAAACATGGATATTAATCAGATGACTGATAACACACGGGCTTTGGGGAGGGGTGAGGAATGTGGGCTGTAACTGGGCTTTCCAAGAGGAGAGCTTCAAGAACTGTCTTTTTCACACAGATGTTTCAATAGCTGTGGTAAATATACAGAGAAAAACTCCATTTATTTTTTTAGTTCAACTTACAATGTGGAACTATACAACAAACTCAATTAAATACGCAAAAGTTGATACTCCAGCTGCTGCAGCATTCTTTAAGATTCTGAAGCTTGCGTTATAAATCTCATTTTAAACCATCAGACGTTCATTGCCTCCAAATTCAGGCCCAAGATCAGTGTAAAATCCTTCTGTTTACAATGTTTATAAAGCCATCCATGTGATCGAATAACTCAACTCAACTTCTCATTGAACAATACAGAAATTGAGCCTCTATTATCATTATTAACCAATATTCCAGTTAAATCCTAAAGGAGAAAACCCCTTCATAATCGAATCATTTGTTCCTTGTCTCATTTTCAAGATTTACTGGAAATTAGATTCAAATCCAGCCTTGACTTTTTGAGTTTTGTTGCTATAACTTACACACAAATTATGGCGAGAGAGAATATACGTACTCTAAGTTACAGCATGTAAATAATTGATAGTGTCACATCTGCCATTTAAACCTATGCAGTCACAGTATTATGGCCACAAGCAGCTTCTCAACATAAAAATTTAGAAAAACCGATGTGTGCTGTGAACACGGACAGAGCTGAAAATGAGTTACAAAGAAACTTTAAACAAAAAAACAATGGAGACCTTGGTGGTATAAATGTAAAACCAAAAAACAGTTGTGGCCCCGGAACAGAAAGAGTTTGATCTGCAGGGTTTGTAAAATATGTGATCCCCGTTAACAACAGCGGGTACTTGTGTCCTGTCTATGATGGTGAGGGGGTCCACAGGTTGGGAACCACTGATTTTGAGAACAAAGTACACAGCAGAAGGAAGAAGAGATATTGACAAAATCTGCAGCTATATAGATAATTATTGAATGAGTCAGCGAACAAAAATATGACTTTGTTTAATTTTACATTTTAAAGTTGTATTGTATTATTTATCAAATCATTAAAATCTCAAACAGAAGTCAGTATTCAAAAATGTTTCATGTTTTAAAATGTGTTAATTTGCTGTCTGATTATTAGTTATAATGTTAGCTAAGATTGATTCTCTTCATTCCAAGTACTGGGACTCATGCTTGGGAATCAATACAAGTCTATGTCAGGACTACAGGACTTTTCGCCGCAGCTGCCCCCACTTTCTGGAACTCACTCCCACAATGCATCAGAAACTCAGACTCACTACAGAACTTTAAATCACTTCTCAAAACTGTTTCACTTTGCTTCACTATACATGTTTTGTAAAGCGTCTTTGAGTGTCCAAAAAGTGCTATATAAGTTAGATGTATTACTATTATTATTGTTATTATTATCATCATTATTAGCTATGTCATGGGGAGGCAGTGTTTCAAATGTATGCAGCAAAAAGTCTTCCTGAAAATGTGAGACAGGCTTCTACTCAATGTTCAAATCCAGATAAAAAACAAAAAAAACAGTTCCGTCACAACTAAAGATATCTATGATTTGAATCCATAATCCATGTGTGATTTTGAGGTTTTAATGTTTTTAATTACTTGTGTGATTTTATATTTTTTGTTTTGAATGTCCTGCGGGATTTTCATTGTAGTAATTTTTTTGTGTTTCTGTAGATTTTAATGTTTATGATTTATGCCTTATGTGATATGAGTTGTGAGGTGCTTTGTGTTGCCTGGTGTAGGAAAGACGCTTAACAAATTAAAGTAGGTACTCTGACAATGTTTAAATCCAGGTTAAAAAAAACAGTTCACCTGTGCATACAACTGAGGTATTGTATCTTCACTCTTTTTAATGTATTGATGATTCTGAATGTTTCTTTTCTTCTTTTAGTCACTTTGAGTTGCCTTGTGTATGAACCATGGACTGTATTAGTATGAACTGAAAAGTGCCTTGCCTATGTTTCAAATAAAGATACTTTCCTGATCTTTTGACCTGTGCCGAGGGCTCGCTGACCCCTGTGCTATAAAAGAGTGAAGAAGACAAGGGACAGGTGCGAAGCAGGTGGGACATGTGTGTTTGTGCGACAGCTGTACTAAGAACACGCGACCAAAAGCATCCAATAACAACCAAACAAACAAATCTTCTGTGTTTAAAGATGATTGGAATAATGTAATCCAATCAAAGCTGTTATTGTCAGGAAGTCAATTATTGTACGGGTTCGCTGCAGTGAGAGACATGGCTCATTTCTGTACATAAAAAAACAGTTCACTTATTACATTTAGAAGAAAAAATAAGGTTCTAAAATGATTTGTATTTGTTAATGATTATGGGGCAGCTGTGGCTGTAAGTTGCAAGCTGTCATTGTGTCCAAGGGAGTGAGTAGTAAGTAAGTAATATTGATTTACAGACCAAAGCCCCAACCAACACCATCCATTCACTCTCTCATTACGTTCATACCTATTGTGCATGTTTTCAGTGGTAGGGGAAACCGGAGCACCTGGAGGAAACCTCCAGACATGGGGAGAACATGCAAACTCCACTCAGAAAGGGCCTGTTCCGACCGGGGATTGAAGCCAGGACCTTCTTGCTGAGAAACAGGAGTGCTATCCACTCAGCCACCGTGTCAGAAAAATATCCATCCATACAAACAAAGACATTAAATACATGACTCTAAAAGTGACAAACAATAGTTATAATGTTGTTATATTCTTGTCACTAACAAAACTTAATTATTAGTATATTTAAGTACAACATGGATGCAAGTTACCATCCATTTAGTGCATATCATAATTTGTAGAATTCAATTTGGGCCTAAACAACACAGTTTTGTGCCAGTTCCCAAGAGCTTCATGGAAACATCTGCTGAAGATACGATCAATATTCACGTCGCCACAGACTCTAATTCTATAAAATATGTAGAAACGTATCAACCGTCGTCACAAAAGACACTGGCCACCTGTCTTATTGTTTAAACCGTAACAGGAGAGATTGGTCCCTTGAGAGCGATGTCGTTGTTAAAATTTGAAGAGAGAAGAAGTGCACCTGTGCTGCTGTTGAGGAGATTAACATCACTTTAGTTTGAGGCTTTGTGCTGCAGCCACAGTCTGCCCACGTTTCTCTTTTATTACTGTGATAAAACAGTATGTATAATGCATAATCATGTAATATAACTGTATGTAAAATGTATAATCATGTAATATAACTGTATGTACAATGTATAACAATGTGACATAAAGCAACATCCAGGAGAAAAGTAGAAGTTGAAGGCTGCTGTGTTAAGATGTTAGTTTTTTTTTTTTTTTTTTTATCAAAACGTGTATTTATTCTATTTAATTTGAGAAAACAACTATTCATACCCAACCAACAGAGAGCCAAGTCTAAAGGTATATGCAAGAGAAAATGAAGATTAAAAACTTGAGGACAACCATACATTGCTTTACGTGGCAATTTCATTAAACTAAATGACATTTCTTGCTCAAACCAAAATAAATAATACAATTAATCAATGTTAGTATGAATTCTATTACTGCAGAAAGTTATTTCAAATGAATCATCCCACATGCCCCCAACACGCTCAACACTATATACACACATCGTGCTCTCAGTCGTTTTACACATGGATTGATGTATTGATGGATGGATTGATTGCGCCAAATGTGTCCTTCTCAGGTGCAAGTGGAGTGAAGGGCATCGCCAAGTGGGACCTGAGCTCGTTTTTATGACTGCGGGACTGCAGACTTGGATGCATTAGTCAGCACAAACACGTGGACAGATCCCGATGCACCACTCCACTGCAGCTCTTTTATGCATGGGGCTAAAAATAAAAACTAAATTATTTTCGTCGTATACCTTGCTGTCCGGTGCGCTCTCCTCTTCTCCCTGCACCTTCGCCTCCTCCGCCTCCCCTTCCTCCTGGCCCGGGGCAGTGGCTGACGCATCCTCAGCTTGGTGGTGGGTCTTCTCGTCCCGTTGCGCAGAGCTCTCGGCCCCCATGATCGCACTTGAACTCGGTGTGTATATATAAATGTTTAAAAAAAAAAAAAAAATAGAGCGAGTCCGAAATCTTTAAAAAGGACGTGCGCCTAAACAGTGTCCCACAGGAGTTTGGGAGATATAGTTGCGCTGTTGGCTCTGGCTCCGCCCCCACGTGATGGTTCGGCTTTGGAGGAGATGCGGAGTGTGAAGAGGGAGCAGAGAGCCTCCAAAACAGGACGCCCCCACCCCTCTCACTTACCCACCAATAAAGTCACGTGGGTCCCGGTGCGCGCAGAGCAGAGACGGCCCGCCCCAAGCAGCAGTAGCAGCATCACCCTCAGCATCATCATCATCATCATCACCCCAGAGTACACAGAAGAGGAGGGTGCAAGGTAACGAGGAGGTAGAAGGCGACGTGAGGAGAGAGGAGACGAACGAGGAGGTAAATGCAGGGAATGGGGTGAACACCTGTGGCATTTGATAAGATTAAGATGAAGAGATCTTTGATTCGTTCTACAGTGGGGAAATTTCACTGTTGCATCAAAAGTTTCAGAACAGTTGGAAGGAGGAATACACAACACAAGATAAGTGAAAAACTGTCTATGACAATCTATAGCTCAATGAAGCCAATGCAAGATACTGTATTCTAAGAAATAAATGGTTGTTTGCATCTGTAGATACATCTGTATTTAAACGGTGGTTAGCATTCTTATTTCTCAGCAAGTAGATCCTGGATTTGAAACCTGGTCGGAACAGGTCTTATTGAGTGGAGTTTGCATGACTCCTGTGTCGGCGTAGGTTTCCTCCAGGTGCTCCAGGTTTCCCTACCACCGAAAACATCCACAATAGGTAAAAATCCTATAACATCAACTTCTAGAGATGGGTTCCCAGGCGCTGTACTGACAGAGGCTCTTGTGGCTTTGCAGGATGGGTCAGATACAGAGGGCGAAGCTCCCTACAGGGATGAATAAAGTGTACATTTATTTACTACACTCTAGCGCAAGAAGATTGAGGTATGGTGGGTTCAATTACTCACACTGATGATGAAACTATTATACATGATCAAGGATGGTCGTATTTTCCCATATCCCTATAAACCTTTTACTCTGCACAAACGTTACTCATATTAGTCCAGTATTGAGGTGATGCATTCTGGGTAGGTCACACTCTGCTCTGTGCACCTTTTAGTGAGCTTTTAAAATCGTTTTTACAATAAATTTTAGTTGTAGTTATACATTTTAGTGTTTTTTTTCTTTTTTTTCTTTCATCCATCCATTCATCCATTTCTGGGTCAGGGGGATGGCAATCAGAGAGGCCACCCAAGTCTCATAGCACCAGCCCCTCACTGACCCTCTGCAGGTGGTGAGTGCACAGGAGGACGGCTGCTCTGTAAGTGAGAGCATAGCCTTGATCTTTCAGTGGGGGCTTTGGGCAAAGTGGGGTTAAGTGTCTTGCCCAAGGACTCAACGACAGGAGACATCAGTGGGAGTCTTTTTTTCTTTATATTGTTAATTCAGTGGTTTTGGTAAATTATGCAAAGACCCAATTGAAACCCGCTAGCATAGAAGCTACCACGAGCACACAATACCAGAACATGGAAAGTGACAATGCAATTAGTGTCTCGTGGTGGACAAGAGGCAGGACCCAAAATACAGGAATGCGCAAAAATAATGATTTAATAAGATTGATGTGATAAAAGTCCAAGGAAAAACAGACTCAAAATCCAAAGGAACAAGGAACCAGGAACAGGACTGAACATTGACAATACAATGGACCAGCAACAAGGGGAGAGGAGCACAGGTCCATCCAGAAAGTTTTCAAACTCTTATCAAATTGTACCAGCAGTATTTTGAAGTCTTCAAAGGAGAGACATAAAAAAACAGTTGGTATAATTGAACGGAACAAAAACATAGAGGGATGATTCAAGATTCAAGGCCAAGTTCACACATCAGCACAATCTCGTGAGGGGGCGGGCCTTCCGTCAGATCTCTCTACTTTACCCTAATGAGAAGAAAAAATGGACGGAAATGTTACTCTAGTGTGTGTGTGTGTGTGTGTGTGCAGGCATGGCATAAAAAAGGGTTAATTCCCAGAGGCCCCAGACCTTAAGGAGCCACTTTTTATTAGTTGAAGCGACAGCAGCTCTCTTCAGGATGTGAAATGGCCACAATCCGGGCCTTTCATCTGCCCCTGTGTCGCCTTTAACTCTATTATTAGAATTGGATTGTGTTTCTAATCCTATCAATGAAACTGTTAAATTAACTTAACTCTCACTCCCAAAGTCCAACATTTTCATAACACCAACGCATTTGTGCATACTTTACCGAACAGATCAGTGTAAAGAATGCAACATCTTCTAAAAATAAGCAATATCAACTGATTCTATTGTGCGTCTTATTATAAGCACCTTTTTTGCCAAATCAAGTGTCACACCAAAGTGAATTAAGCTTGACAAAAAACAAATACATTCTCAGAAAATATTTTTTCTCTCCAGCCAGAGCTTCTGAATATGAATAATAATATTAAGCAACAAGAAGCAAGAAGGTCCTGGGTTCGATTCCACCTCCAGACCTTTCTGTGTGGAGTTTGTCTGTGTAGTTTTCCTCCAGGGGCTCCAGTTTCCCCTACCGCTCAAAACATGTACACTAGGTATGAAAGTAATTGAGTGAGTGAATGGATGGTGTTGGTCAGAGGTTTTGATGGCCAGTGTGTGGAGAGAATGGAAAAATATCTGTACTCCAAAACATTAGGTGACCTTGGTCTGTGTATGCACTATATAAAGACAACTTACGTAATAGCAATAATGGATTTTACTTAAAACATACAATGCATAAAACATGATTATCTAGCAATTGTGGTGCACAGACGATTGCTTTCGTTGATGGGACCTGCAGGTGGGGGCAGACAGTGAGCACAGAAGCCATTTTGCTGTTGTGTGCCTCAGGAGGTCGATTTTGGGCTCCACCTTGAACCTAAGCCGGAGCAGGTGCAGGGTATGGAGGATGTGATGAGTTCTGCTTTGCACACCCTGACCAGGATCGGTACTGGACTGTTCAGAGTAGACTGTAGACCAAAGCGGGTTGCAAAAACATCAGCCAGAATGCAGCTAGAGCGGGGTTTGGAAATGTTCTGAAAGTGAAAGAACGTCTTAACAGATTTTGTTGAATTTGAATGTCATATAAGAGAATGGGGAAAATCTCTAAAATCCTACTGGGTTTTTCCTTGCCGATGCAGGAGTGTCTAAGGACAATGGGGATGATGCTGGACACCCGACATTCAACAACATTTATGGACTTTATCATCATATATGTACATCAGCCATCTGCCCCTTATGGGCCAATGTGTTTTTTATCAATGCAATTCCTGTGTTTGAATTGTTGGATTCTCTGACGGCTTGAAAAGTCCTCAGAGATAACTACTGTTGTGATTTGACTGTTGGCTATACAAAAAGGAACTGAACTGAATTAAACAATAATCTAACTTTTTAATGGCACATAAAAAAGGTATGTTGTGGATAGAATAGGGACCTAAACACGAGAGGATCGACATTAGTGTGGGAGGTCCAGGGCTTACATTTTTGTGCCGTTAAGCTGTAGGAAGTAATCATTCATCCATACCCTCGTCTCCTCCAGGCAGGGAGTGAGATTGTGTAGGAGACGTGGAGGACGTGGGGTCCAATCGGTCCGAGAGCTGAGATCATCGACATAGCAAAGGAATGAATGTCCATGCCTGGTGATGAGGCCCGAGGAGAGAGCGTGTACTGTAGATGGAGAACAGGCTGGGGCCAAGGACTGACCCCTGGGAGACACCACATCTAACAGTGTGAGGTCTGGTTTTCCCCCAGGGCCACATACTCAGCTCTATGTCAGGTAGGAGCTAAACCACTGAAGTACTGTTTGGCAAAGATTATTGGAAACATACATGGAACAAAAATGAATATGAACTTTGTGGAAGGCGGTTTTTTCCAGTGTTCAGTCTTTCGACATGGGACAGGGAGATGGGGGGGAGCCCTTTTATACATTAAATTGATCAACATTGTCATTCAATTAGATAAATTAATTCAATACATATGGTTTTATACAGGCAGGAGCAAACACACTTAACTCCCTAATTAAATCATGCATTTTTAAGCCAAACCCATTTTGAAAGGGGGCGAATACATGGTTAATATAGTTGTTTTACATTAATGCTGGTCTTACTGAGGACATTCTAATACAACCCAGAACCAAGAGTAGGTTTATAAATATGGAATGCATCTTCTTTATGCCCATAACAATAGCAGTAATATAATCATTTGGTTTTTCAGATATAATTTTCTGCTTGCAAAACCATGTCTCAGATTTAAGATCCGTCTTATGACATGAAGGCCATTCAACTTTAAGGACTGTGATATATATTATACAGTAAATATAACTATATTAAACAACATTTTCCTCGTATTTGTCTGAGAAGCTCCGAAATGTTTTCCAGGTGAAGTCAAGATGGGATCTGTCCTTGGTACTGAAATTAAAGATCAATATTCCACTACACAACATACAGCTGTATTTTCAAGGATTTGGGATATTAGTCTAATGAAAAACAAGCTCTGAACTTTTGCTCCAATTGTTTATCTTTAATATTGCATCAAATCAAGTAATGACCCAACGACAAGGGGATTTTCCAAAGCCATGACGAGCGCGCACATCGGCCCCCAGATCTGTCAACGGTACACAAACTTATATGTACATACACCACATAATCTATTTACTGTAGACAAGACGCAGGTCCTGTTGGTGAATGGGCAATAACAGAGGGAACAGGTGAGGAATGCCAGCTATGAGACGGACCTACAAGTGCACACACGCATTTGCAGTCTACTGTAAAGAAGCAGCATTCTCCTCGTAATGACAGACACCATGTGCACCCAGGAGAAGGAGGGGACAATACCATCCAAAAAGCACATTTCATAAACATATCAGTATTAAACTATACACATAAACAGTAGTAGATAATGTAAAGATGTTGAAATTCATCCACAACCATTAATTGGTCAGTTTAGCCAATGTTTCTTTTTCCTTGCGTCATTGAAACATGTCAAAAAGGAATAACAAAGATAGAGGTTAGAAGGGACAGGGAGGGAACTCAAGTGGTCCAAATATGGGTGAAGGAATAGACCACTGGGTAGACATTTTTTTCATCAGGGTTCCAATAATTATAAAATTAGACCCCGATTTATTTCACACACTTATTTTTTGCCATAACACAGTAGAATTAAGTCAAAATAAGCAATGTTCAAGCTTCACAAAGGCAATAGATAATAGCATTGATTATTTTTGTATTATTTGTTGTTGTTTCTTCAAGTCATTAAAATAAACCCAACCAAAACATCATTAAACAAATCCTTGTTTGGGAGAGAAAATGTTGGACTCTTCAAAATGACCAAACCGGTCCAGAAAGGGCCGCTGTGGCTGCAGGTTTTCCATCAGACCCAGCAGCTGTCATCCTTAGTTATGCACTATACCTAAAGTGGTATTGTATGAGGATAAAACAAATAAAAACAACACACATTTGGAGTAACTAAGATTTTATGTGTTAGCTTGCATACTCTAATTTTAAAAAGTCAGAGAAATTAGTTAAAAACACCATGACGTAAACATTAATCGACACAATTCAGGAACCATTTTCAGACAGTTACCCAAATATTATAACTTTTGGCAGTAACAGCATTTGGATCTTAACACTTGAGACAAAATCCCTGAGTGGTTAATTGTGCGCATCACATCAGCTATTGGAAACACTACTTGAACTAAATATTTATGACATTTTGACATTTCGACTGTGAAAATAAAAGAAAGGAAACAAGCACATTTCATAAAGCAAAATAGTATAAGTAGTGTGCAAAGAGCATAAAGCTGAAAGTCAAGTAACATTTTTTCCAGGATATAATAGTATTTTTGTTAAAGGCAATAAAAGGTGGCATTAATCTTCTCCAACGTCCTGTGAACAAAACAAACAAAGCTTTAGAATCAGAAAAATAATAGTTTTAAAATCCATGTGGCTTAAGTTACTCAAAACCCAATTTAGTCATTATCCATTTTGTGCGACAATACCTCTTAAGCGCCTGCGTTCGGCGGCTCAGAAGAGTCCCGTGATCTCCTCGGTGACCGGGTCGAGGTCGATGTCATAGAAACAGGGCCGGGTGGGCAGCCCTGGCATGGTACTCATCTGCACACACACATTCACAGGTCTTTTGTTACAGTATGTAATATACACTCTTGGTTGTCTAAGAACATCAATACAATCACACTTTTGTTTCCAGAAACTTCCTGCCTCAAGTAGCTTCGAAGCACTGATTACTGACGCAAACCAACTGCTGGAGTTTAGCTCGAAACGGAACTAACTGTTATGTATGACTACCTCTTCTTGCACCCACTTTCACAAACACGAGGACCACACGTGTCCAAATTAATGTTGTTACAAAGAAAAAGAGAGCAAAGACCAATAACCTTATAAACTTGTCACACAAATCAGACTCATTCATCTCATTTTAAAAGTAGATTTGTTTAGGAAATAATGAATTTCATTTATTAAAAGGGTCAAATATGATTACTGGATCTTGACCTATTATCTGTGTAAAAAATGGGGGACCACTTCTCTCCATACCATTTTGTTCATCACAAGTTGGGCAGTGGGGACACAAATGGCCCAGTGTGTTTGACGGATTTGCTGTGTGTATGCAGTTGCTGTGTTACAAGACACATTTGAAAGTGTAAAAAAGAAGGCTATTGTCTTAGATTACATGGGGGAGCATAACTATTGACAAGAGTAGTATCACAGTTGTTTTTGAGCCTTCTTTATTTTCTGCTCTTATAAACAAAGCCACAATGACCTCATCTCCAAACCATTCTGCAGAGTTGGACCTCGTGTTTTTACTGGGGATTATTTTCTCCCAAAGTTTATATTAAAGCTGCACCATAACACAGCTGAAGGGCCCCAGACGCTGATGAAGGAATGACATCACCCGACAACATACATGATAACTATAATCTAGAGTCGGAGAACACGGTCAAACAGGTGATCAATGCACTGACAACCTCCACTTTGCCTGAGATTAATTTAGTGGCGCACAATGGACCTGTTGTACTGCACTTTTCCAAATATCTAACCCAAAACTCTGGAGTATGCAGAATCTTGTAGGACAGTTGGATTTCTGATAATGTGTGTTCAAAGAAAACAATGTAAGTAGAGTAAAGATTTAAGAAAAAAAAACATTTGAATTTTTTTTTTTAAATTGGTATCAATACTTAATATATGGCTACGTTACACATCTCCATTCCATTTATCATGAAATAAAGTGTATTTTTTCTTTTATTTATGCCATAAATTGGCAGATTGTATATTTCTGACAAAAATATCAATAAAATTGTGATAAAATCGTTATCGTGAGCTTTGTCTCGTGTATCGTAAAGTATCGTGAGGTACCCTTAGGTTCCCACCCCTACTGTAAACAGCTAAAACAGGAGCTACATCAGGACTAAACCAGGGTTGACAATGGGGGACATAGTCCTGGTTAACATATGCGTTTTCATGCTCCCGTGACTTTATGCAACTGCTTCGAGCGTGTTCGCCGATGCGGAAGTGCAGTTTAATAATAAAATAAACGTATGGCGCACCTCCGTGAACACATACTGCTGTTATATTAAGTATCTGTAAGGTCTCTGGACACAGAGACTCTGCAGAGCTGCATTATTGGAGAAGAACTTTACCAAAAAAGCCGCTAGCATAATTCCGTTATCATCAAAGTCTACACGCTACTTCCGCCACTTCCGGCGCGCGCCACTGCTGGCCAGGACATCTGGTGTGAAGACCCCTGCGTCTGAAAACTAGAGAATGTGCGTCTGGTGCGTGAGGCATTAGCGTTCCAGCGTTGGCGGTGTGAAAGCAGCTTTAATATTTAGGGCTGTAATAAGTTAACTCTGGAGCCTATACTTTTGATGCAGCCAATGTGTTTATTTTGGTTTTGATTGAGCTTTGCACAAATCCATTCCTGCAACCCAGGGAGAGCAGTTGTTGATTTCCAGAGCTGATGAAAAAGCACACATTCCTGCTTCTTGATGTGGTTATGTGAACAGCAGAAAGCCGATGTAAGGAAGTGCAGGAAAATATACAGGCTATTGTCAGTACAGAGTTTATGGCCTTTAGTTTTAGTAGAGGCGGGACGCACATTTACTGTCAATGGTGTGTAGAGTGTATAGAGTGTATTTTGCTCCATTAAATGTTGCTTAAAGATTACATCACAAAGTGTGGCTGTGGGTGTGTGTGAGAGCGTGTGTGGTTTGGGGTGGGTCTGTTAGGTGATCGGGGGGAGGGGTCATGGGCCGGCGGGATTGTTTTTAACCAAGCTGTAAAGCACTTTGTGTTGCATCTTTTGAATGAAAAGCACTTTAGAAATAAAATTTGATTGATTATATTCAGATGCGGCCTATATGTGGACTTTTTTTCCCACTGGTGCAGTTTATATTCCTTGTGCTATCCTTGGGTCACAGTATTTAAAAATTTCTATCTTGACCAGTCCTGGGTCATTCAGACCCTTTTAGACCATAATTTAGGGAATTTATCTTCTACTTTTAGACCACTGTGGCAGGTAATTTTGACCCACGAAGAGCACTAGGGATATACAAGCGCTTAATAGTCCAACAAGTGTCCTAATCTTCTATTCTTTCAATAAAATCGATTAGTGATTAATCAAACTTGCTACACCCCTAATATACTCATACAACTCTACTTTAGTAAGTGACAGTATTGTAGTTACAAAGAAATACATGCGTGTGATTAAAAATAATAATACAATGGCATATTTGTCCTTATACATGTAAGTTATGCAACAATCCTCGGTAACAATATTATTACAGATAGTCCAGGTTACTGGAATACCTTTTCACAATAGGCTATCTCCGTTTATAGACTTCTAAGTGTTACTATTAGTAGCAGATGTCAGTGGGAGGAACAACGTAGATGAAATTAAGAGGAAGGAATAGAATCTGATTGAGGGAAAGTTGCTCTAATGTAATTTGTGATGTGGACAGGAAAGAGCTTGTGCAAGAAGCTCACGCTAAACACCCCGTTCTGACGGAAATCCACATGCAAAATCTCCAATAACAAAAACAAGAAACAAATCCATCTTATATTATTATGTGTGATCACAAGATTCTGGAATGCCAAATTATAAATTATCTCCCTAATTAGACAAGGAGGGGCATTTTTCACATGCCTGCCTCCGCCTGACCCGCTTTAAGAGGCCATTAGTGACCGGAGCGCAGAGGAAGTGTGCGCAGGGTTCCGGTCTCTAAATGATGGGACCACGCAGGGGAAGACACGAGCTGCTTCCTGGTTGTGGGCATGACCCCAGTCTGGCGCGTCAAAAAGCTTTTAGAAAGGATGAGTCAAAAGTATGAGGTGGATAAAAGTCTACAGCACATTGCGTAATTATGTGAGGGAGGAAATAATTCAAAATGTGACGCCATTCAATTTTTCAGTTACTATCACTAATCCCAATATAATCTAAGGTGGCTACAAACAAGGAAGACAATATGCACTTGTATGAATATGAAATTATTAAAAAAAACATGCAAAGAACATGCTAACTCCACTCAGAGAGGCCGTTACATTTGCTTCAACAGTGAAAGGGCAATTGTTCAAACCCAATAGAACACGAGATTTAGGGATCTGCAGCAAACCAAAAATAACTAAAAGGAACTAGTTAAAAGTCCCTATGACCTTCTTCAGCAAGTTTAGGGATTATATTTTATTTGCGAGTTTAGCGTTCACACCGGTCCAGATTCTTCCCAGAACGTTTGATTTGACTGGGAATAAGAGGGACGCATTTTTATCTTTCATATTCCCAGGAGTTTGATTGTTTATTGATATTTATTAGCCATATAACAGAGGTATTACTGGTTAAAAGTCTGCGTTTACATGGTCAATCACATACATAGAACTTACATTTCTGTCCATGCACACCTTAAAACATAAGCAAAAAAAATTTCTCCAGAAAATAAAAACAGAATCAATAGGCAATAGCGGTGACAGGACGCTGATGTTTTGTGAAAGTGAAAGCCCACACTCGCAAAGTAAATGTTAATTGCAAAAAATAAAAATCTGCCATGCTTAATGACGTAATGACTTCAAAAACAACAAAACAAGATACCACTGGACGAAAACAGGAAACTGAGGGTGAAATTTACTTTATCAGAAAATGGGATGAGACCATGATGGCCCCCAGCAACCTCATGAATAATACAGCGTGAAATTTTGAATGCTCTTCTCTTCAAAACATTCTGATCTTGAAAACAAGTTACATTTATGAAAAACTGCTACGATTCCTCCAAAATATAGATAGATATATGGATATACACACAATGCTGCAGTCTATGAGCTCAGAAAATTTTATCTATCCAAGTATATATAAAATAACTTTTCTGAATTGCTTTGGCATTTCTGGTAAGTCCAAGTCGTCCATTTAAATATCAAAAGATACAAAAATGTGAACTGCCAAGGTTGTGAAGCGCAACAAAAGGGACTCTGTTCTTTGGGTCCTGAGACTCAAAAACATGTTGGCACTTGCAAAACAGACGACACAACAGAGCGAGTTGGAAGCTGCATTTTGGGCCAAATCAGTTCCTCCGTTATTCACAAACACAATGTCCCTTTGTTTGGATAAACCCCTGAAGGAGACAAGAGAGATACCTAACCCCACAAATACAGACCAGAACTAGGGCTGGACAAGTCAACCAATTAACTCAATTAAACGGTTTTTAAAGTTATGTTCAGTGACAAAGATGGACATAAAATAAAAATGTGATCCAATATGAAAAATAAAGATATGTTAGAATGTCAGAATAATTTGAATTATGACAATTAACATGGATAAATGGGGTTAAAAAAAGTCCAAAGTATGAGAAAAAATGAAAAAACAAAACAAAAAACAGGATAATGAAAATGCTGTTCCATTTATACTGCAATTTTTCTGCAGATGTGCATCAGAACGTGCAGCTTCATTAGGAAAGGGGCGCGTAATTTCACAAGAGACTGAAGCAAGGGCTTTGGCATCATAAATGTTGTGGACCCCGATAGGATTTTTATGTTGTTCTGGAACACCTTATAGCTATGATACATGATCTACTTTGTGCCTGACCCAAGAAATCCAAGTTTCGAGCAGATTGGTTTCATTTCCATCCATTCAATCGGTTTATACAACAAACAAACCACAATAGGGTTAGCTTTGCTCCCATCATAATGACACTTTTATTGTGGAAAATATATTCATTTTTTTTCTTCTCAAAAATGTTTTGTTTGAATATGCACATGTGCCCAAAAAGATTTAAAATTAAGAAAAGTTAGTAAAATATAGTAAAACTATATTCAGATAAACCTGTTATTCGACACCTGTATAACATTGCATGTCTACTTCCACAGTCTTAAGCTGCATTGTAAAAGAAGTCAAAGAAAACATATAATCCTCTTGTAGTTTTTTGGATTAGTGTTGAGTTTTGTTTCATTTTCAAATAAATGATCAAAGAAATCGGTAAAACAAACATTTCTGTGTGTCATGGAAATAAATAGTTAAAACCCATTTTCCAGACTAGAATTCTTTAGAGCTTTTAGTCAAGTTGCTCCAGGCACAAAGAAATAATTTATAGAGTAATTCTTTAGGACTGCGAGAAGCTTCGTGGACTACGGCTCTAGTTCTGTCATCTCCAACCTGTCGCTCATGCTGCAGAAGGGAGGTGAACTCTACACACATCTATTGTCCTCCCAAGCATATCTGAGGTATGACATCAGGCACTTCCTGGTTCTTCACCCCCCAAAGACCCTGACCTGCCCTGCCCTGCCACCCAGGACCTCCAGCTCCCACTGATCCCACAACACACACTGGATAGAGGGAGTCACGAGAAAAGAAAACACCCAGATATTTTTCTAAGCCATTCCTTTTTTAACATCAAGTGGAAGAAACGTGCATCACCAGATAAACTGGAACTAATAATGTGGATGAGACACTTGCAAGTCAATATAGTAAAAAAAACAATTAAAAAGAGCCTCACCCATAGTAAAAAATATACGTAGATACATATAACATACATGATCCTCTTTAGCCAAAAGTTAAAAGCACCAAAAAAAAATGTTTGATTTAATTAACAAAAAGGATGAGTTTTGAGTCAGCACTTAAATATCCACAGGTCTTTTTCAACTTTTATGAACTACTATGAATGCAGCATCATCGTCACGCCTCTTCTTGGGTATAAAAGGTGTGTAAATGTGCGTATGTGTGTCTCCTGCCATGTCACACATTATATCATTGCTCTAAATAAAACAATATTTTTTTAAACCGTATGTTGGCTCCACGACCTGAATGTCTTTTCTTACAGACGTTCTCATCTCCACCGCGAGTTCAAAGTCCTGGTTGGAATCTCACTTTTCGGAGTCCAGGGTGTCACCGCGGGCAACAGCACATCAAAGCCTGGGCTGGGAGACTGGACAGACACCAGTCCCACATTCTGCCAGGGCTTCCCAGCATGCATCAGTGCTGACACCTCGACCTCACCCAATCAGAGCACAGACCCCGAGGACACTGGTGAAATAGCAGGAGGCAAAACACTTCCTCCGTTGGCTGTGTCTGTCTGGACGCTGGTTTCACAGTGATGCAGCAAACTTTAAACAGAGGTTTTAGTGCAGCCATATTTCAAGGCTAATGAAAAGATTATATATTTCAGTGCTCCTGTTATTTAGGTCAACCGGTCTGGCCTGAGTGGGTTACATCTAGTTTAATAAAGAAACTTTTGGGACACGTTTTATTTTTTTCATACTCTCTGTATTTGTACTTGGAAAACATAAATTACATTAAAAAGTGAACTTATCAGAGATCTAGTCTAGTGAGGCAAGTTTAGTTCACCATAATTGTCCAGGGGCGTCTGAAGTAATGCTGTTCTGTTTAAAATATACTGTATGTAATGTATATTTTCTTTTACCTATGGATCAAATTGTATTGTGTCCTTAATAAAGATTAATAATGATAAAATGAGGAATTGCATTGGAGGTGAAGTTGGCTGAATGGCAAATGTTTAACTGCTAAATTAGCACCATAGACAGAATTTTGCGAACACCATCCATCCATCCATTTTCTTCCCCTTAATCCATTTCTGGGTTGAGGGGGGGTGGCAGTCAGAGCTGCGCCCAATTCAGAGAGCACCAGCACCTGATTTTTTGTGAACACGTGTTAATATAAATAAGTAAATGACTAGATTCCAGAGGTTCTTAGCTTTACAACAAGGTAGAGCATGCCTGACTAGCTAGAGCTGAAGTTGGCTGGATGACATGGTGAATTGCTATTTATTGAATTGATCTCAATGGTACTTTGGGTTAGAAAAAAAACAGGGCCACATAACATGACACTGTGGGCCGCAATTGGCTCGTGGGCCTGAGTTTGGACATGGCTGGTCTAGCACACATGTAAACAATAGTTTCTTTGCTCTTACTTACAGTGCCAACCAGAGGGTAGATGAATCCAGCACCAACGCTCGCCCTCACGTCACGGATGGGTAAAACAAAACCTGTCGGAGCGCCTTTCTTTTCAGGCATATGTGAGAGGGACAGGTGCGTCTTGGCCATGCAGATGGGCAACGACCCGTAACCCTAGATTTAAAAGAGATTACAGAAAAAAACGTGTTTGACTGCGTTCGAGCTCATGAACACTCATATTATAGAGGTCTGCACGAGATACCTGCTGGTTGTAGTAGTTGATTTTGGCTTCCGCTTCATCAGACAGTTTGATGTCATTGGCTCCGTAAACCTTTTGGGCAATCGTCCTGATCTTTTCCACTATGGGCATCTATTCACACAGAACATAACAACTTAAACAACAGGGAAGTAGGTACCTTTGTCTAGGAAGCATGTAGTAGAAGTAAGTACTCAAAATTGTAAGCTACCTATTCATGGCTTATAATTACTAAGACTATTTTTGCAACCACTACTCAATGGCCCAAACAATAATTAAAAGCTTGTGTCTTAAAATATAAAAAGCCCTCTTATCTAGTTATAGAACACTGCTGTGTTCAATTTAAAAGGGGATGACCATAATCAAACATACAGTCAGTTATGCACTACTTTCAAGAGGCCTGCCAAAGTTACAAGAAGCTTTAATTCAACTATTACATTGACCCACATGAAGACCTGGCTGGACTAGAGTGGTCTGACAGGTTTGGGGGCAAAGAAGAATTCAGTTTGGTTGTATTTTAGCAAAGCTATTCGCGGCTCTCCACTACCCTGGGCCCGACTAGTCCCCTCATCTCTGTCATCATCAAAACAGCATCTAGGAGATTTGTTTATCTTGAGTTAGGAGAGAACTTGATGAACTGTCTAGAACTCGACATTCTGTTAAACTGAATTTTCTGCCATGTTCTATGAAACAATTATGACGCGAGTAACCCTGACCATACTGTAAATGGGTGAGCATGTGCACTTTGTTAATCAAAGTCACAACTTCCCAACCCAGTAACTCAAAACAGCTGATGTTTTTTTTCTACCTCGCTCAAAAAAGTGGCAGCCTGATAATACTGAATACATTAATATCTCAGAACATACTTGACATTTTTAGCATATTTATCAAAAGAAAAAATGCAAGTATCGCATATTGTGCTCACCTTCTGGTCTGTTTACATTTTGTTCCGCAATAGAAAAATAAACCAAATTCCAAAAACTTTATAAAAGTAGCTGTCTGAACAATAGTTTGTTTAGTCTACTTTTATCATTTTCTGTAGGAAAATTATACTTTTAGGACAAACAGGTTGCTTTGACACAATGGTGTGATGGTCTCACCTCAGCGTCATACAGGAACTTGAAGTGGCTGGGTGAGCTCGCTGCCTCCTTCACGGCTTTAGCAAGCTCCACAGAGCCGCGGCCGCCCTGCGCCCAGTGGTGACAGGGCACAGCACCTGCTGCACCACTCTGTTGTGCAATCTGACACACCAGCGCTACCTCTGCTTCAGTGTCTGTCCTGAGGAGGAATACAAGCACAAGGATTTGAATAAAGTAAAGATGAAAGGGCAGACGGCAGGTTCAGAGCAAGGCTCTTACTTAAATACATTAACTGCTACGACAACAGGTACCCCGAACTGTTGTGCAATCTGGATCTGCTTCCTGAGGTTGCTGTTGCATCCCCCTGCAACTAAGTCCAAATTCTGAAAAGAAAAGTCAACTGTTAGAGACTTTATTCCTACAACTGTTCATAAATGCATTGGTTTTACATAGTGCTTTTTTGACACCCAAAGATGCTTCACATGGTATTATTCTTTCACTCCAAACACAGTGATGATAAACTACAACTATAGAAACAGCTGCCCTGGGGTAGATTGACAGAAGTGAGGCAACCAGTATGTGCCATCCCAGTGTGGCACCTGGTGTTTTCAGAGGTCTCCAATCACTAGACAAACCCCTCCCTTCCCTGCTTAGCTTCTGAAGTCTGACAGGGTTTGATTTTCATGTGAGATTTCATAACACTTTTAAGCAACTTTTGTTAAAGTTAAACTCATCATTCTATCGATGTGCAGAAGCCAGTACTTTTCCACTACTTGTTTTGACTATCTCTGCTGGCACTGTGGCAGCTGCTGATTGGAGGTTTCCATGTCTCCGCTCTGTATAATACACTTGCATTCTGTTGTATCTGTGTTCGTGTTGTTCGTGCCGTCTCTACCATCAACAATGAAACATGTCTTTTGTCTGAATTTAAGACACGATCCCAGACTTGCCTCATCTTCTTCACATGTGAGAAGACTGTTAGGAAAGTCCCTACATCTCCAAATCTATATTGCAGAATATTTTGTACCGTTAGTAATTTCATTTCCAAATATTGCAATTCTATCTGTGGCCGTCGACTTATTATGGTTATTCACCTCTCACATAAGCTTCAAGTTTATCTTCGTAATAGTAGTAATAGAATGATGTGTGTGCACGTGTCCAGCCCTGGGGCCAGAGCAGTAAAGCTGAACAGACGCTTTAAACCAGTTTTCCTGGGTCTGTTTTCCGTAGTACTTCTGGTTCTCGTTAAGGCCTTCACAATTAGTGTTTGCGGTACAATTATTTTGTCAGCTGTAAGAGCTATAAGAGAGAGCAGCAAATCAGGTCAAAGGGAATAATAGCCTTTGACATTCATTCATTCCATTTTCTAGATTATCTGAACTTTCAAGTGACCCCTTAACTTTATTAGTCTTGATTAAGAAAGAATGAATGTGTTCCTGTACCTAACCAGAAGCCCACCTAAATTACTCAAGGCTTCCGCTGCTGTGCACGTCAATAGGCACATGGTTGTAAGAAAGTAAGTAATCTTTATTTATAAACCGCCTTTCACAGACCAGAGTCACAAAGCGGTTTACAATTGTTATTTTTTGGGCAGTTGTCCTCTCACTCCACACAAAGATGGGAGCGGGGTCACCAGTACAGGAGGCGCATGCCAGGCCTATTGTACATATTTTTAGTGGTAGGGGAAACCGGAGAACCCGGAGGAAACCTACGCAGACACGGGGAGAACATGCAAACTCCACTCAGAAAGGACCTAGTCCGACCGGGAATCGAACCCACTTCAATTGTCTAATTGAAGTGGTGCTCTGAAGAATAACTTGAGTCTGAAGAATATAAGTAATAAAGTGAACGACAGTAACAGCCAAAGTGCTTTGATAGTACTTGCCTCATTTATGTACTCCTGCGGGAGAGGTGCACCTGCCGAGACCTGCATACAAACAAGATGCTCAGACACCTGCTGCATTGGACTCAGCACCACCCACAGCCCTTTGTTGTTGAGCCCAACTACACTGCACATTTGGACTATAAATAAATTGTTGCAAATGTATTCTTTGTATCAGTTCACAAAGTGACTGCAACTAAAATACAGATAGAAGTATGAGAAAGTTATTACAACAACACGTGAATGCTTGTTGGGTAATATATTGAATGAATCAAATTTGTTTATAAAAAAAGAAATGTATTCATTCATTTATTTATTTTATATATATATATATATATATATATATATATATATATATATATATATATATATATAAAATACATACTGGTCTATTGATGCAGTAAGGATGCTGGTCACAAGAGAAGTGCTATTTAAACGGTCTTCTGATCTGAATTGTGCAGCTGCAAACAGACTCCTAGACTAAAGTGGACACTGAGATGAAATACCTGGTTTACACTGTACACGAGCAAAAGGGTGTAGAATTTGTAAATTTCCACTTACACTTGGGCCTCCCCCGTGCATCTTAAGAGCACGGACTGTGGCGACCAAAACAACAACATTAGGTTTGAGCCCAGACGCTCTGCACTTGATGTTGAAGAACTTCTCCATCCCAATATCAGCGCCAAAGCCGGCTTCAGTCACTGCCACAGACAAACGTACAGTAGTGTTTCAATCATTATCAGGATCTTTAGCATTTATTGGATTTACAAATTATATTTATGCAATGAATGAATGATGAAGCTAATAAATGTTACAGGCACAGAGTTTTGGTTGTAAGTAATGGCTTTTCAAACTTCAAATGAACTACAGGCCTCTTGAACCTGATCCAAGTCAAGCAAATAGTCCACCAGGAGTGACAGGCATGCTCAGATAAGGTTTCCCTTTACTGGTGCTGAGCCTATGTGAATTGTACTTGCCTCTATAGTTGGTTTTACACTGTGAGAAATTTAAGATCCCAATTCAAAAGCCTATGTAAATAAGTTAGTGTTTCCATTACAATACTTCCTTCCTACTTTCACTAGTCAATCAGCATTCATCAACATTAGTCATGTACCAGTAATATTGCCACTGTGACACGTTTCGCTTTAATTTTTTCTTACGTCAGGTCTCATGCAACGCAAAAAACCCTATCCCCCAAAAAATAACCCACACATTCACCTTCTATGCACAAATAATCATCAAATAATTCTATTGAATAATTGTTTCCGCAATTTAGTCTATTCTAATGAAATTAACATTGGTCAATGACCTGCACACTGCTGTTCCGTTCATCCTCGCTCATGGAACAAGATTATTGTCATTTGATAACACAATTCATTTAAAAATACTAGGGCTGTCAAAATTGTCACGTTAATTACATTTTTCATTAACGCGTAATTTTAAAAAAAACGCATAAACGCATGTCCGAATGACCCGCCCATTTATCCATAATATCACTCAGAATGCTGCGTGTGAGATGCATCAGAGCAGGTAGGCCCTCTGGGAATTCATGTTTTAAAAGAATACGCGCGTGACCGCTGTTTGCTGTGAACTGAGGTCCGCCTCCTCCGCGGCCGCTCTGGCTGTGAGCCGCTCACAACAACACGGCTGTGAGCGGCTGTGATTGAATGGCGCCGCGGTAACATGGTCATATAAGACCAAACACGCCAGAACTATTGTCTGCATGTTGTGTTCGTGTCTTTGCAACCTGTGCGTAACCTACAGTATCCACGCAAATACACCGCGAAAGTGTCCGTCTCCTCCTGAAACTAAACTAAACTAAACTAGCGGAATTAAAGCTGGGGTAAATTTTCCCCTTTCATTAACAGCTCATTTTGGTTGTGCCCAAAAGTAAAAGGTTGTGAGCAAATCTAACAGATTTAAGTACATTTGCTTTGAATGACAATGTGTCATTACATTTGATAATCTCATTTAACTTTGACACTTAACAATTGGAGTAGATTTGATTAATCGCATTTTTAACATTCTATTTCGTGAGTTAACTCACAATTTCTGTGCGATTAATCAACTAAAAAATTGTAATCGTTTGACAGTACTGCTGTTGAGATTACGAACTGTATTTCAAGAAATCTGTTTCAACAGTAGTATAAAAGGTCAAAACAAAAACAAAGATATATTCAAAATAACAGTGCCTTTATTATAATAACACTCAATAAACTTTTGCCTCATGACCACAAACAAATATTTGAATGTGAAAGACCAACAAAGTTGTGGACATGTATGGAAGCTTTTGTGTCATCAGAATTTGATTTTTTTCTAGCTTGAATTTATCCATTTGAAATTTCTAACCCTGAAAAAGCAGGTTTGAATATTTTTATCTTTGCATTTCAGTCACTAAAAATTCAGTTTACAAATTTCAATGTGAATAAAATTTCAAAATTACATTTCACCTTCAAAATATATTAAAAAAAAAAGTCAATGAAAAAATAAGATTATTTGTTCCATCAGAAATTGAATTTTAAATGGACCTGAATTCATCTATTTGATCAGTCTTTTTTCTCATTGACGTTTTTTTAAATATATTTTGAAGAATGTCATTTTGAAATTGTATTCACATTGCCCGGAGATTGTGACTTATGACAGTTACAACGAGTAGTTACTCGTTGGGAAAGCATTAGGCCCTTACCCCAGTTGGGGCTCGGGCCTAAAAATATTCAAACATGCTTTTTCAGGGTTAAGAATTTCAAATGGAAAAATTCAAGCCAAAAAAATTTCTAAATCTGATGACACAAAAAAATCTTCCATACCATGTGGACATTCATGGAGTGAACGCAAAATAAATTGTTTTTTTTTTTTTTTAATAAAGAAACCTGCTTGTGATGACTTGAGCAGAATGTAATCTAATCTCATTATGATTACAGCTGTTCTGTGATACACGGAGTACTGGTCACTGAACAGCATCATGAAGTCCAAGGAAACCACCAGAGAGTTCTGAGGATGAAGGATTGGAGAGGTTTAAAGCAAACAAAGGACATCAATGATCAGAGATTTAGACAAGAGGTGGTAACTCTGGAGGAGTGGCAGACTTCCACACCTGAGGGAATATGTACATGGGGCAGGATTAGTCATGCACTAACAAATCTGGCCTTTATGGAGAAACACAAAATAGAAAAAAAAAAAAATCAAACATGTGGTGGAATGTTCAGTTGTCATTTGAAACCAAAATGTAAAGTTTGACAAAAACTGCCGCTGGTGGGGACAACATGCTGCGGGGCTGCTTTTCTTCAGCAGGCAGTGTTTCAAGAGTTTATGGGAAGGTAAATGATCCAAAACAGAAGAAAAGCTGTTGAAGACTCAGATGGAGGATTACCTACCATCAGGACAGTTTCATACAATGGCACGGTTTACCAGAAAACAATGTGTTACTGCTAATTTACACATCACGCGTTACAGCACGTACGCGTTATACGCGCAGCAGAAGCGCGTAACTTTTTTCCATGTTAACCTATGATGATATTTACACTTCTAGCGTTATACGCGCGTGTGACGGACGAATGACGCGAAGCTGCGTTCTAATTTAGGATGGATTTCTAATTTTGTGCGCGCACCAACGTGTCTCCCATTGAAATCTCATGTAAAACATGATTTTTCTAGCGGTCCTTGGCTTTAGATCACATCTGCACACACACAGCACTTGTATCTAAACATCAGCAGGAGGAGCAGCAGGTTTTACAGTGATTCTGGACATCGTTTTTTTTCTTTCATAAAGCCTCGCGTCTGGCCAAACCAGCGCACAGAGACCATGAAGACAAACACATGCATGTGATTTGTGTTGCTCTACATCAGTCCTCTGGCCCGTACTGTCCTCTACACTGCTCCATAGACTACAAAGGGACAGCATCAGAAGACGCGGACCTGCGCACACGGTCAGTGTAGATACTCCAAAAAAATGTCACGCGCAGTAAACGCGTACGCGCTGTTTACGCCTACTGTGTAAATTCCCTGTTAGAACGGTCAAGTCCAGACCTAAATTCAATCTGTGACAAATAAATAAAAAGGCTCTGTCAAATAGGGTTTTATATGTTGGGTTAAAATTAATGATTGTTCCATTTAAAATGAAACAACTTTTCAAAAAGGCGCCGTCGTCTACCTGTGAATGAATTATACTGCATTGTGCCTTAGCATTGCCTTGGATCCAACATACAAATTATAATATGAAAAGATCAAATCAATACTCAACCACAAAAGGTATCTTCATAGCATTGATCTAAACTGGACTAAAGTTCATGAGAATCCCTCTACGCCCACATTACACAGGGCAGCAGTGTGACCTCCAAAGGATGTGAGGAGGAAACACTCGCACACTTCCTGCTCTGTGAGCTCGCCTTGAACCGATCATGAAGTTAAATGATTTTGAGAGCAAAAAGAGCTGGAAGAGATTACGTCCTGCAAAAACATTTGTCCTGGTTTACCTCAGCCGATCACAAAAACAACAAAAACATCTAAAACGAGGAGAGTTCTAAACCACATTCCTCCTGTTGTGGATGAGTGCATTCTGTGGTGTGACTTGGGGGTTTTGCACATTTTCTGTACTTGTAATCATACAGACATCCTTCCCATTTGTTATGACAAATCCAATTTACCAATTTCCAATCAATAGTACTCTTTTGTTCATTTTGAGTTTAGACTCCCAAGGGACATGAAAAGCCAAAAAGATTAAGTTTTGACTTTCTAGGTAAAAAGCAAATGGTGAATAATTTAGAAAATCAAAAAACTCCAAGGCACTCGTGGTCAGTGGTTTAGAAATTTAAAAAGCCGTATGAACCGAATGAAGCCCCTCCCTATATAAATCACATGATCACTGGTGTCACCATTTGCACCCTGAAGAAGGCCAAGTCAGGCTAAAACGCGTTGGTGCGTATTTTAATCCACAGCCATGAGCAAATAAAGGCTTTTTAAATTTCTAAACCACTGACCACGAGTGCCTTGGAGTTTTTTGATTTTCTAAATTATTCACCATTTGCTTTTTCTAACACCTGGATATGTCTAAGTCAAAGTCCAGACCTGAATCCAATCGAGAATCTGTGGAAAGAGCTGAAGACTGCTGCTCACAAACGCTCTCCATCCAACGTCACTGAGCTCGAGCTGTTTTGCAAGGAAGAATGGGAAAGAATTCCAGTCTCTCGATGTGCAAAACTGATAGAGACATACCCCAAGCAACTTGCAGCTGTAATTGCAGCAAAAGTTGGCGCTACAAAGTATTAGCGCAAGGGGGCCGAATAATATTGCACGCCCCACTTTTCAGTTTTTTATTTGTTAAAAAAGTTTATATTATCCAATAAATGTCGTTCCACTTCACAATTGTGTCCCACTTGTTGTTGATTCTTGACAAAAAAATAAATTTTTATATCTTTATGTTTGAAGCCTGAAATGTGGCGAAATGTTGAAAGGTTCAAGGGGGCCGAATACTTTCGCAAGGCACTGTATAACAGTTTTTTGCATTTCTGTAGCATATTTTAAAGTTTAAAAGACAGCAAAGCAGAAGAAATGCACCGGTTCAAACATAAGTGATAGTGGTGGGGGTGCATGTCTGCCAGCTGCTGAGGGGAGGGCAGGTGGGAGTTCTTGGCATAGTTCAGGGTCAGGTAACAAACACAAAAGTTGAAAGAGAAGTGGAACAGACAGAGGAAAACAAGTGGACAGAGGAGAGGAAAGGACCCAAGTGGAACCAGACTCTGAGCTGTCCAGTCTTTTGAGCGGTCAGAGACGTCAGGACAGAGTCTGGTCCATAGACTGTATGCAGATGGACAACATAGATTTTATTTTATTTTATTTCGTATAGAGCAACACTGACATTTCCCCACTGTGAGACGAATAATCTCAATGCGTACCCCGACAATGAAGTCCAATGGGTAAGTGTTAAAGGAGCAATATGTAATATTTGCATGTCAAGTCATCATTAAATGACCCGAATATTTCAAAAGGCATTAATAAATTATGTTCTTTTCAAACACATCTTTAACTGATAACAGTAGTTCATCCGAGATATTTGAATATCAAAATTAGTTTTACGACCCGTAAAAGTTGTTATTGTTTTGATTTTGATGTCCTACCCTCCGCTGTTTCGCCAATCAGGAAGTGTCATGTAAGTCCGTGATCGGGTTGCCAGAACTCCGTGCGGCTCACTAATCTCAGAGGTAAAATAACATGTGGCGCAGAACTAAAAAAGGTCTTGTTATGACTCTCAAATCATTAATGACAAAACAAAGACTAAGACGTTTTTTTGCAGATTATAGCTTAATTGTAAAAATAATCATTTAAGACCACATGTACCCCAATTAAAATAATGTTAGTCTCTTTTTGATGTGGGACTTTTACATGTTTGTCTAAAAAATAGGGAATAAATAAAATTGAAAGGTGATATCCTCTTGAGCAAACCCTGATGTTGATACGCTGAAGAAATACGTTCCAACATCCATTCTTCCCACTCCTATTTTGGACATCAATTGCTTATGTATTTTGCATAAACTATGTATAATTACATTGCTTTTATTTTGTTTTTGTTTTTTTATCTCAAATGTCCAAATAATAATAATAAAAAAACATGAATCAAAACATTCATTCAACATTAGCACAGTTCATGGCAATGTGAATGGAGACGGACAAACAACTCATAAAATAATTCCCTGTGTTTGCTGCTGGATTTGGTGTGAATCTGGCAACCTGAGTCAGGAAGAGTGGGAGAGGACTACAAAATATTGACTGTGACTGCAGTACCACTTTTGGCCAGATTTTTACATATTGTTCCTTTAACTGACAAAGTTTTGCTTAACTGTCTGGCTGCAATGGACTTGCATTGAAAAGTAAACTCGTCAGGTCCTTTCAGGTTTAAAAAGTCTGTAGTTTAGTGGCGGTTTTTTCACCACCGTTATTCTGGTGTTTATATTTTGATCATGGCTCATATCTGGAGTTACAAAAACAATGACAATTGACCAATCCAATTTTTTTAATTTGCAGGTGAAAGTCCAGCTTGCCTTAGCAACAATCAGCTTTGTGTCGTTACAACAGCAGATGTTTTGCTAACGCCATCGGAACCGATGCTCATATGTGGAATTTGGCTCCAGCTAGCTAATGTTTGGTCTATGATCTGGATATAATACAAACCACTTTATCATTTTATTCTTTTAGAATAAAAAATAATCTCAGACTATACTAATGTTTGGTCACACCATGTCTATAAATTTAAACCTCAAACAGGAAAAAAACTTTAACAATGTTACAAGCTCAAAGTGTTCTGTAAATTCAAGAAAACCAGGTTCTAGTGAACCGTAAAAAAGCCTCCCAGATTCCCAACATATTTGTGTTGGCAGAGTGAATGAATGAATGAAGGCAGCAGCAGGACAGATGCTTGATAACAGAAATACTGGTTTGATGTCAAGCTTTCCTGTGAGGCATTCCAATGATTTACATTTATCTATTTCCTTCCTTTGGTTCTTAGAAAGCTGTGTAATTGGCAGATGGAGAGGAAAGTAAAAATAGTAGACAAGACTTTGTCTTTTTGCGAGTCCAAGTCATACAAGGGACAATACTTAAATGATATAATGACATCGTAACAAGCTGTGGAACCGTGTAAATCCATCACTGTCAGAGTTTCCGCTTTTGCACACACAGCCTTTCCCATTTTTTAAAAGTTGATCATTTAAAAAAAAGAGAAGATTACTGCTCCATGATGGTTGATAACCAAACCGTAGTCCATTAGAGCGCAATTCCCTCTGATCCTTGGTATTTTCATTGATATTTCAAAAAAAAAAAAAAAAAAAAACATCTTCTAAAATACCAATGCAAAGCCAGGACTTAGTATCAATCTTCCCTGCCGAGGAGCCGATTTGGTCCTGAGCTAAAATAAATTATAGGGTCTGCAACATTAATACGCCTCAACTTGGTTTTTTTGGACTTGTGAAGTGTGGCTAAGTTTTTACGTTTATTCTTTTCAGTACTACCCTTAGAGATGCTTCAACAGAATTTGACCCTGAAATAAATTTTAAATCCTGGTATTTAACAGACAGTTCAAGTACAGTTCGTTTTGAGAGATTTTGCCACTTACCCACAAAGCCCTCTCGTCCCACAAGTTTCAGAGCCAGCTTGTCGGCGAGCACTGAGGAGTTGCCATGGGCGATGTTGGCGAAGGGCCCGGCATGGACAAACACAGGAGAGCCCTGCAACAATTGAATACACATGACTAAATAAGAATACTTGTGTGCAGTGGTTTCAGTTGAGTTTATATTTTCTTTACAACCATCAACACAATACTCAAATATATACAGAAGTTAATTATAATGGCAGTAAATGGATTGGAGCTTTGCTGTGACGGATATTGTCGTGAAAAGCATGCTACATCATTCTGTCTGAAAGAACTGGAAACTAACAAAAGAACAGGCATTTTGGGATCCCATCTGTCATTTTTTTTTTTTTACAAACAAACAATAAAGCCCATGTTTATGTAAATGTCAGTTGTGTTGTAATTGTGTACAATGACGCCAATGGTATACAATCTTGCTCCCACTATACCAAAACAAACCTGTACCACATATGCGTTTTGAAAATGATAGTAAAAGATTGAAAAGACTACAACTCCAGAAGTATCCTCTACTTCTGCACCACTGGCTAACTAAACAGGCAACGGTTTGTTTTCTTTTACAAAAGCTACTGTTTACTCCTTCAGAAGTGTATAGAATATGAGGCACGTAGACATCTTAAGACAATAATTCATTGTTGATACTGGGAGGAGGAGGAAAGGGGAAGAAAGGGAAGTTCCTTGTTGACGTTTTTGTAATTTTTACACTTTTGTTAGCATTCCTCTGTCTGGCTCAGCAAACAAGACGCCTACTGTTCGCAGGGATCGGAAATGTGTCCAGGAAAAACGTCATCTTACTTCATGCAAATTAAATGATAGGACAATCAAAAACATGTTTGCACTTGTTATACGTTGTTATATTAATATTGACAAGTAATAGCCTTAAAGTGATTGTCTGCAGTTTGTCAGAAAGAGAGAGGTACTTGATTTGAAAAAACGACCCGAGCTCCCTCCCCCTTCCTTTCTGATTGGTCTACACCTACGTTTCCGTAACACATTTAAATGTTAATCAGAGAACACATTATACATATACATTATTAATACTCATGCACGGAGGTTTTCAGAATTATTTGTTAACGTTTTCATTAAAAAATTATGTTTTAATGCACACAAAAAAACAATTGCGGCAAACCCGGAAGAAGCTATTATCATATTATAGGACACATCTGCAGAGGATCTGATTATGGATATAGGTTCAGTATAAATGGGTAACTCAGCGCGGATGTTCAGAATTCTTTGTTCAGTTTTCATGTAGTTTCAGAGCCTATAAAGGCTTGATTCGGAGGCTCCGCGAAAACAAACAACTGAGCATACGCGCAGCTACGAGCATCAGCGCCGATGATTGACAGCCCTTGGCATGACTCGATTGGTTAACGTGGACGGCATCGTGGATTCTGAACTATAGCTAAGAGCAGGGAAGGCGGGACTTACCCGTAATATTAGAATGAATAAAATGACTTATTTTAAAATCAACATTTAAGGCCAGGATGTCAATTTAATACAATTCTTAAAATTTGTAATTAATTTAGAGTTACAGACTACCATTTTACTAAAAAATTAAAACAAATTTATAACATTCAGAAATATACATATTATCATCGATATTTAGCAGCGACTTCACTGCTAAACACTTGAAATGACCCAATAACAAAAGCATGTTTTCCATTTCCAAAATGTACACAACATGCTTTAGATTAAATGTTCTGTAACATATGAGACCACAACAGGAAGATGGCTATCGGATCAGTATTTCCTCCTTTGATGCATTGTAGACTATGCATTTTTATCAAAAATCAAAAGATAAATATTCCCATGGTAACAGGATAGGATAGGAGTGACTGTATAAAGAAGTGATGACTGTGAGAATCCCATCTTCAGGAAAGATCCAGGAGACTGAGTGGAACCCCACGTAGACAGGATGTACGACTACACTCAAGGCATGTGAACTTCAGTAAGGAATTTGAAAAACCAGTTTAAACCTCGGGGAACACGTGGTATGCACAAAATACATTGACTGAAAACCCTGACATCAAGAATCAAGCCACAACATTATTTAACCCTCTGTGCCTTTGAACATTTTGAGAAGGTATGCAAAAATAAAACACAAATTTGACACCAGGTTATGTTTTAAAAAAAACATAAAATGCACCTTTGAGTTTTTTAAAATGGTCTCTGAAAAAAAAAAAAAAAAAAAAAAAAAAAAAAAAAAAAACTCACACGTACACAAAAAAACCCCCCACAATATTTTGGATTTCTACATTCACTTATGATTGACTGTATTTTCATTTGAAGGGGTTAAAAATGTATTAAGTGATTATTTCCAATGAAGTATAAAGGAAAATACAGCGGGGCAAGAAAGTAGTCAGCCACCAATTGTGCAAGTTCTCCCACTTAAAAAGATGAGGGAGGCCTGTAATTTTAATCTCTCATAGTTGAGGTATACCTACGAAAATGACAGGCCTCCCTCATCTTTTTAGTAGGAGAACATTGGTGGCTGCCTAAACACTTTTTGAAAGTATGAATCAAAAACTTTAATAAGATTTTTTTAAAGGAATCTATGAATAGAGTTGATCTGTATTTGATTTAGGATTGTAATTTCAAATTGAATGAAGGTTTCAAGTGATCCAAGTTCATGCAGAAAGTAATCACTACTGCATTATTATAATTGAATAAAAAAAAAAATAATGGGGCAATAATGGGCAATCCACATGGAATTTTCTCACACGGATCACAGGCCTCAGTTGAAACCAGAATGGCAGGAAAATCACAACGGAAACAGCTTCACACAACAGAGCCAAAAGGTTTTCTCAACAAACAAAAAAATACGGAAAGTAACCGAAGCTCTGCAGCCTGCTCCTTCCATCCTGCTGTACCCATCAAAACAACCTGCTTTGTCTGTTTATCCTACACGCCCAAAGGCAAAGTCAAACAGCACTACACACCAATGTCTTTAGAACGAGGTAGAACCAATACATTCATGGGTAGAACTTGTATAGAAGGAATATCACTCCTAATCATTCTTTTCTGAATAATTTACTTTGTAGAAATCTTTTCCATCACCATTCTCAGCTATAGTGCTCCTACCCCATCATATCTATTGGAGCTTATACCAGAATCAGAATCAGAATCAGAATCATTTTTATTGCCAACGTAAGTAACGGGAGGTCACAGACTTGGAAATTGCTTTGGCTCAGTGCAACAGTCAAAAAGAGATAATAAAAATAAGAATAAAAAACACTTCTAAAGAATAAATTTAAATTTAAAATAGAGTTACAGTTACTATTTACAATATACAAGTGCACATGGTGCACACAATGTAAGGTGACAGCAGTACAGTGAAGTAAAGTGACGTATGATGGGCAGTAAAGTGACTTTATAAAGGGCGGGGGGACAGGTTAAGAAGTGTTCAAGAGTCCAACAGCAGAGGGGAAGAAACTGTTCTTGTGGCGGGAGGTTCTAGTCCTGATGGACCGCAGCCTCCTGCCTGAGGGGAGTGGTTGGAATAGTCCATGTGCAGGGTGAGAGGGGTCGGCTGTGATACGACCAGCCCGGCCTCGAGCTCGGGCGACAGTCAGTGAGTGTAAACTACCATTGATTAATACAGTTTATATCATGTTCATTTACACATGTCATGATAGTTCCATATCACTACGTCAAAGTGGTCACATACAGTAGCAACACACCGCATGTTGCTAAATCTGCTAAAGACTTTTCGTTTTGGAAAATTCATGAATTTAAATGTAGGGATACTCTGCTTCTTGTGTGTGTGTGTATGTGCGCCACTTCATTTTGGTCATGACAACGGTTGCTAAGGAGCTTTTCCTGAATCTTGGCTAATAAAGTTGTTCCTTTCCTCAAACACACACAATAGATATGTAACAGTGCAGATTATCAATGTCGAGGGGATGAAGAGTGGCAGAAGTATACAATTCTTACATCAAAATATTATGCGATGTGATATGAACTGTTGAAAGTGTGATTTAACTTCGATTTGAGTCTCACCTCGAGAGTCTGCATGAGAGTGGGTTTGATGGCATCTTTCATCAACACTGACAAGGCCCCGCTCACACCCTGATTAGATACAAAACAGAATCGGGTCATTGTGGTTAAGTGTTAAGTGTGTAATTGAACAGAGCCTGATGTTTTTATGCATGTTTTCATTGTCTGCTGAAAAATCCAGGAAAAAGTGTGGTTTGACTGTGCCAGACATTTGGGAAGGTGATGTTTGTGCATTGTGCACAGCAGACTTCTAATCTTACAAGAGTAACTAATATGGGAACCGCCTTTTTGCTCTGTGTGTGTAAGTGGAGCCAGCTGATTCCACAATATGCAGTGAATGACTATCACCAACTATATCAGTGATAGTCATTATTTTGGGTTAGTGCCAGTTCATTACATGCTATATCATTATTTACAGAGAAAATCATCCACTGAAAACGTAAGAAAACATCTAAAAAAAAATGATGTAAAACCTTGATGTGAGGTTTGTAAAGTCACTCACCAGGTCCTCTGCTGTGACCGGATGTCCTGAGCGACTAGTGCCCACGACCATGCGAGCCAGCCGGTCCCTCATGTCCTGCAGAGAGCTGGCCAGTGCCAGGATCGCCATGATCTCACTGGCCACTGCAATGTCAAAGCCAGTCTACGGGAAAAAAAAAAAACTATGTTAAACACTCATTAGGATAAGTAAACTTCAAAACTGGTTTATGACTACAGTTTTACAGTTGATGGTGGAAAATCTAATACAAGATTGTTTCCACATTGCTCTTACAACCATCCTGTACGTGCGCTGCAACTTTGAAATGTCGATACTTAATATATGGCTAAATTATGCATTCTACAATTTCTGTAGAATGTTCATATTGATTTTATTGGATGTGAGACAGATTAAGTAAGATTTGTACTAAAATGTGCATTGGGGCATTTTTGCCTGTTCACTTTATCCATTTATCTTGAAATAAAGTGTATTTTCACATAATTGTCATATTGTGAGCTTTGTATCGCACATCGTATAGTATCGTGAGGTACCCTGAGGTTCCCACCCCTATTGGACACACAAGATTTTAGTTTCATTCAGGAAAAAAACATAAATAAGCTTGACATGGAAACATTCTATTCAAAGAACCAAAACAACCCCAAAGGGAAATGGCACAAAGAGAATTCAGACTGGGGACAAAAATGTGTTCTACAACTGAAAAGCGAGGCATCTGAAACCACATCAATCAAGCACAGCTTTTCAAGTCATACTCTCATTGCCCTCTGGACAAATGGTAGAACAGGACAGAGGAAAACTCAAGTCCTAAGGAATGGCGTTAAATGTAAGCATGTGCTTAACTAACTTATGGAGTGGGAATGTGTGGGTGGGTCATATTCCTCATCCTTTAAACATTTGCTTTCACTTAAGTCCTTTCTGGCTTCCCATTGAGCTGAACTGTTTATTTACACCATTTAATGTATCTGTCATTACTACAGACATGTGGGTTCAATGCATATGGACTGAATCATAAGAGCAGGAGGAGGGGGCATGAGAAAGTGAGAAGCAAAGAGATTGGGAGTGGGTGTCTATCAACAATGGCATTACAAAAATGTTCACACATGTCCTCCTCTGTAGTGGAAACAGTCTGAGCCACTAAGGAAATATACAACTGTAGATCTGCCTACACGTGCTCATGAGTGTGAGTCACAGATATTATCTAAAGTAGGCATTTAAAAGCTGATAATTGGATGAAAAGTAAACCATTTCAGGTTTCATGTCTAATTCAACCAGACATAGAATTCCATGATCTTGACTCACGGCTGCTCAGAAAATGTCAGTCTTCACCTACCCCCCATCTCAGGTCTTAAACGTTTACTTTTCTTACCTCTCGCATCTGTCCCTTTTCAGTGCTTGCTTGTCCAATTGTGATTTTCCTCAAGAAACGATCGTTTGTATCGACAACTAAAATAGGATGAAAATAAGACGTCAATGTAATAATGTATTCAGAAAATGTACTGTATATTCTGTTTGACAGTGATGTTGAGAAAGTTGCGTCAAGAGAAGCCGACAAAAACATTAACTATATACACTAAGATTTATATCTCCTCTGCTGTTGAGAGTGGAGTGTGTTTGATTTAGAGTCACACCCCTGTAACATGCGCTGCTAAATGTGTTTTAAATCTCCAGACAGAGTCCTGTGAGAGCTGTGTGCAGTGGAAGACATACCAGAACCCCATCAGTTAAAGCGGCACCCCACTGCCGCTTCTCACAGCCACTTCTTACATGCTCCCCACAATTTGCTTTAAATACTTGTTTTTATTATACATAATTTAGGACATCATAAATAGGATGTTTATTTTTAATCTGGAACAGTCTTCCTGAAAACGTGAGACAGGCTTCTTCGCTGACAATGTTCAAATCCCGGTGAAAAACTGTGCTTTTGAGATGCGCATACAACTGAAGGATTGCATCTTTACTTGTTTTAATGTACTGTGAATATTTTTTTATTGTAATGCCTTGTATTATTTCTAACTTTATTAAGCACTTTGAGTTTCCTCGTATATGAACTGTGCTAAACAAATCAACTTGGCTTTCCTTCAGTGCAAAAGGGAGGAACTGCCCCTCTCAGCCAATCAGCTTGCAGTGTGTAAATGTTTTCAAATAAGAATTTGATAGCATGTCGTGGTATTTACCAGTAAACAAAACTTTCTGTCAATGTGTTTATGAAACTAAAGTTAGTCAAAGAGTGGATGTATCAGGATTATATCTCTAGAACAGACTCTATAACAATAGATAGATTGTGAGGATTGATGGGTGAATTGCGTAAAAAGACAAGTTAACCATATGTATACCCCTGTGCCAGGTGATTTTGTTTGGGTCCAAGTCAAGGCGGACAAAGCTGCTGACCTCCTGCGGTGTGAGAGACTCGGGATCCGTTTTATTGACGCCCAGACGCTGCAACAGAAACAGACAAACTTATCCCCTCAGTGTGAACTAAATGTCAACTGCTTGTAAAGTTTGTCACACACATTACGCTATTGACGCAACCACTTCACCTCACCATCTGTTTAGTGAGACACACACACACACAATACCGGCTGACTGGGGCCATCTTGTGGACAAAACATTCCCTTACCGATACAAATAGCTGGCATCATTGATTGGGGTCAATCAAATTAAACAAATCTAGATTGAAATAGATTTGATACACTTTGACTAAATACCTGGAGCCTGGAGATTTGAATGGGTGAAAATGTCCGAATTCCATTCACAGAAGGAACAAGCCTTTTGTACAGAGCCTGCAGAGGAGAAATGTGTTGAACGAATGTAAATATGAATCACCCTTTATTCCGTCATTTTGAAGGTAAAATCTAAGTAAATTAGAAGCCGACCTTGTCTGACTGCGTCGCCTCATGAAGCATTCTGGCATCTATAGCAGCTGCTACCAAGTTGTTTGCTGCAGTGATGGCGTGAATGTCACCGGTCAGATGGAGATTAAACTGCAGTGAACGTTGGAAAAGCCATTATACACCTTGTGGTTTAATACTTCAATGACATTTTTAAGGATCAACCATCACTGTGATTCTGCTTATTCAAACTAATACATGTACTTTTAACTTACCTCTTCCATGGGGATGACCTGTGCATATCCACCTCCAGCAGCGCCCCCTAAATACAATGAAGAGATTTTGTTCATATCAGCAGCGATGTGAGATGTTAAGGTTAAAGTATATCTTGTACATCTCCTCAAAAAGGAAAAATCATTCATGAGATATAATTGAAGAGGTGAAGACCTTTGACTCCAAAGGTGGGTCCCTGAGAGGGCTGTCGTAAGCAGGCAAAAGAGTTGAGGTTCAGGTGGGCAGAGAGGGCCTGGACCAGGCCAATTGTCACTGTGCTCTTTCCTTCTCCAAGAGGAGTAGGCGTTATGCTGTGAAAATAAGGAAGAAATTACATTCATTTGGCTGGAACATTGGGTACAGTGCAAAAAGGAGAAAGTGCATATAACAGTGAAAACGGCGCATCAGTGTAACCACAATGTGTTCATAAGGACTCACCCTGCGACCAGCACATAGTTCCCATCAGGCTGAGACTGGAGCCTGTCTAACAGAGACAGACGGACTTTAGCCTTGTTCCTGCCATAGGCCTCTAGTTCTTCAGGGAGCAGCCCGATCTCCTCTGCCAACACTGTGACTGCTTTAGGAGTCTGAGCTCTGGAAATATCTATGTCACTGTGAAAGACAGGATAAGCATTTCACTTCTTGTATACATTATAGTCCTATTTTGTACATTTCCCATGGTGAATTGTACCTTGGCACCGGGGTCAAAGGCTTGAGTTTGAGGCTCCTCAGGCTCCAGGACTTGTGCTGCTGCCCCTGCAACCAATGACTGCTGCTGTGGATCACGTTCTATGAAGAAAATATGTTTAATTACAATATTAAATAAAATGCAGAGGTCCAAGTCCAAACATGTGAAAACCTGTATCCTGTAGGCTGCAACGAGGTGTCTTGAGCCCTGCTTTGAAGAGATCTCTCGTTCAACTGAAGAAATATGTGTATTATTTTAATATGATAACAGGAAAATCAAGTGCATGTGCCTAGAATCAGATACCAACACATTAAGATTCATTAAGAATCTAAGACAATAATTACATATGCAATAATATGGATAACATATAAAGATGAAAGAAAACTCACAAATTACTGTTGCTCCAGGCTGAACCCATGCTGATGGAATGTTTATTTTTCCTTTCCCCAAGACGACCACAGCATCAGCCTCCATCACCTGAGAAAACACTTTTGTTGAGTGGAGACTGATGTCACAAAATAGCAGCGTTGCTACATCTCTATTGAACATGAGCAGTCAATGTAAATGGGGTGCAGAAATGATGATTCAAAGATGGAAACTTTCTATGGGAAATAATGGAAATTTAAGGGAATTAACAGGAATATTCAGAATGGAAGGTTGGCTCTTCATAGGCGACTTAAATATAGTTGAGGAAAGTATTTTAGCCAATCTTCACTTAAACCAACCGATGCCTTTCAAATACACATCAATATCCATGTCTTTGCTCAATCACATGTACATAGCACACTGCTTACTGGATGGCTATAGCGACCCGCCCCAAAGACACTGTGCACGTCTCATGTACAGAAGATTTATAGAAAACGACCAGTTTTCTCGGCCAAAGTACAAGACTGTTTAGTCCACAGACTCTTCTTAATCTCAATGGGAACTTCCTGGTTAAATATCAAATTTGTTCTACTTACAAATAAACCTGTTTAAATATCTGTTGAAAATGCATTTTCTACAATGTTTTCTTATGACTTCTGTTTATATTTATGCTTGGATATGATACAGTTAAATTACCATTAAGTCCCAGTTAGTGAATAATTCCAAAATTGTTATTAAAAATTGTTATTTAATATAGGATAGAACAGCACATTCTATGCAATGTATCGTTGGTAATAAACCAAATTCATATGATTTATCATATTAAAGAATATAACTAATATGTACATATATACATACATACATACATACATCTCAAAATCCATTCGGTCAATCAGATAAGTGGAAGAAACAATTTGCCCAAAACACTGTCCGCCTGTTTCTCTGGTTCGAATGTCGCTTATCATTGTCATTTGTCGCCCCCGTGTGTCGAGCCCATGACATTACCCGTCTTTGGAGATTGTTCGTTGAGCTGGAACTCTTTGAAACCTCCATCCCGCTCCTCTCGATCATTGCTTGGAGAGAGTACGCGAGTGCTCCCTCTGCTCCAACCAACAACACCGATTTTCCTTCTAATTCTGAGAAAATAAAATTGTTCAATACATATGATTAAAAGACCATTTATTCATCATCAATAGGGAAATTTCAGTGTTGTATCAAAAATTACAATACAGAATGAATGAAGATATATTAAGCACATTTCTACAAAATAAAAGCTGAATAATGAATTAAAATATAAACCTCTATACTGTAGTGCAAGAATTATATACACTTGCATGTATAAATCTGTAGATAAATCTGTAACACTCATGTGCAAGAATATTGAGGTAGTAATTAAATTATTTAAATAAAATTAAATAAAATGTAATTTAATTTTTACACCCATAATGCACAACAGTAATCGTCTGAGGACTTTACACAGTTGTCATTAGTTCTGTGGGTTCATATTCCAGGGAAGTATGGAGCGTGAGATTGACAGGCGGATCGGTGCAGCGTGCGCAGTGATGCGGTCGCTGTATTGGACCGTTGTGGTAAAGAGGGAGCTGAGCCGAAAGGCAAAGCTCTCGATTTACCGGTCAATCTTCGTTCCCTCCCTCACCTATGGTCATGAGCTTTGGGTAATGACGGAAAGAACGAGATCGCGGATACAAGCGGTCGAAATGAGCTTCCTCCGCAGAGTGGCTGGGCGCTCCCTTAGAGATAGGGTGAGGAGCTCAGTCACACGGGAGGAGCTCGGAGTAGAGCCGCTGCTTCTCCACGTCGAGAGGAACCAGTTGAGGTGGCTCGGGCATCTGTTCCGGATGCCTCCTGGACGCCTCCCTGGGGAGGTGTTCCGGGCACGCCCCACCGGAAGGAGGCCCCGGGGAAGACCCAGGACACGCTGGAGGGACTATGTCTCTCAGCTGGCCTGGGAACGCCTTGGGGTCCCCCCGGACGAGCTGGAGGAGGTGTGTGTGGATAGGGAAGTCTGGGCGTCTCTGCTTAGACTGCTGCCCCCGCGACCCGGCAACGGATAAAGCAGAAGAAAATGGATGGATGGCTGGATGGGTTCCTATTCCCACTGAGGATACATGTTAACATTATGAGGCTCTGGGCTAAAAGTGAGTAAGTAAATTAACAGTGGACTCTTGTGGTCCCATATTGCACAGTCTGATATTATTGTGCATTATTGCACTGATGGAAGATATGTGAGGTTAGGTCGGCACTTTAATTTAGACACTAGTTTAAATAGCAGTTTTGCTACAATCTGGCACATTTACATTTTGTGTACAACTTGTATATGATTTGTTCATTAATGTGTGTTGTCCCAATAAATAAATAAAAAAAAATAAAAAATAAAAAAAATATTAGTGTTGGGGGAACATTGATTTCCATAATAAATGTGTACAATTTGACACTCACCGTGATTATGTAAAAGATCAACGATTGCACTTGCTACTGGCGGCATAAAGCTCCTTTCACAGTCGCCCCGTAGCAGGCGTCCCACATTCAAGTCTGAAAGCCTAATAGAAGAGAGGAATGGAAACAATAACTGCATTTTACACCTTAAACCCTTGTGCAATCCTTGTGTCAAAATGATCCGTCACAGTGATTAGAAGAAGTGGAAGACAAATACCCTAAATTAGAGTTGAAAGGGGTCTAAATGAACCAGGGCTGGTCAAGTTAGGAAAATTCAGCAATATTTATATAAACTTTTTTTTAAATTTCTGGTATTTTTTAAATCACTGTGCCGGGTCAATTTGACCTGAGGATAGCTTTTAAGACAATAAAAACATTCTTTCATTATCAAAATCATTTCTAGGGTTTCTTGTGATTACAGAGGGTGCCTTGCTCATTTTCTGCTCACAAGACGGACTAACACGCTGTTTCTAACTGTCTGATTATTCCCAGGCCTTTCTGATTTGGGTTAAATCTGCTCTCAGACATGTGAGTAACCTGTGAGCTCCTGTTGAGAACACCGCATAAAGAGACTCGCCGTCACAAAAGAGAATGCATTAAAAACTTTGTTTTAAAAACAGACATATATTACAAATCAGTGCTTTACCCATCGATGTCTTTTTCTGGTCTGAGAGCATTGATCACTCGACTTGTGAGGAAAGAAGCAGCAAGTTGTAGAGAAACTCCATGCACGCTGGGGTCATCGTTAAGTCTCAAAATCTCCTCAATGACCTTAAAAGATAAATGAGTCACATATTATACAAAAAAGATGATATTAGTGGTAATAGTACCATATAGTTACTATCACTACATATTTGCAGAGCCCATGCTATCAAATTATTTCTACAAGTTCAGTTTCTTGAGTGAGAACATATGCTTTAATTCCTGAACACACGCCAACCACACACGTAGTCTTTTGGGGTTGTTGTAATCACATGACAAACTAAATAGGGAAATCATGCATCAACTTGTTAAACAAATGCGGGGGAGGGGTTCTGCGCAGTAAAAAAAAAAAACTCACCTCATCTTCTGTGGTGTTCTTTGAAAGGCACAGCCGGGTAATGTTCAATCCAACCTAAAAGGAATGGGTTTGGGTTAGTGTGAAATCATGTTAGAGAGACTATAGGATAATGTGTGTTTAATATTGTGTTACCATTGTTGCTACTTTCTTATTAGAGTCCCAAATGTCGTCATTATCACTTGACTGAGAAAAGAACAGATTAGGTTATACTAATCATGTAGAGAAATGCGATGTACATGCTGATGACAAATTTGCTGATATAAGCCCCATTTCCACCAGCCCTTCTTGGCCCTACTCAATTAGACTCTGTTCTACTCTACCTTGTTTGGCAGCGTTTCCACCTTTCTCACTGGTACCAGGTAAACTGCTTACCTGCTTGGCCCTGGTCCTATCCAGACAGAGATGGTACTAGTGCTCTTACTGACAATGACTGGAAGGAGCGCAACTGGAAGCCATGATTACCAAAGAATTTCCCCGGTTACTTTTGTTGTGGGTTGGTGGCTTGGATACAGTACCAAATACGAAAACGTGGTTGAGTAGAGCCGAATAAAGTAGAGTAAGGCCAAGTAGGGCTGGTGGAAAAACAGCTATAATCATCGCCAAATTCCCATACCTGAACAATAACAAAAGTCGGTTGGATGGTTGAGCTTTTTTTCTGCAAAGCCGCCATAGCGTCTCTGGAACTTTGGACAACCTCTCTACAAATGATACAAGAATGCATAATCATAAATGGTTTTTCAATGATAATCAAAAACAAGCCGTAGGACTCTTCATTCTAAAATAAAAGTAGGGTAATACATAGAAATAGATAGTTTCAACCTATAAAACCTGTACATGACTTTATCAATTACCAATTAGATTTTAGATGAATTGCACCCCCTGCGTCATGTGACTTGGGAGGGGCCAACATGTCCCCATTCAACCCCATGTGAGGCTGTAACACACTAACCTATATATATTTAGAAACATGTAAACAATGGGACAATTTCTTTACATCGAACAGTCTCACAGTCAAGACATACTATAAAGAGTGAACACTATGTGGCAGACTTATGTGTGCGTGTGTTATTTTGAATAGATAAAAAGTAGACAAAGTTTGGACGATTGATAAAAGGAGTGACAATAAGATACTATGGAATATAGACAACCCAGTAGGATTTATCCCCGCTAAAATCGGCAACAATAGGGAAAAGTTGCATCAGCAGGCTTTGAGACAGCCGTACACGTGTAGAGATATCCCCCGAACCAACCAACAAGGAAACAGTAAAACACACACAAAACGCACCACACACTGGCATTCTGAGAGTGTCTCACCTAAGACAGCCATCGCACTCAAAGATCCCCTGTTTGCCTGGAGGTTTCCCGATGTTAAATGCTACTTTGGCACAGGATCTGCCGCTGGAAGTCGCGCTCGCAGCCCGAAGAAGAAGCACGCCACCAGCGGAGGGTCCCGTGGGCAGGCATCTCAATCGGCTGGCTACGAGCCCACTACCCTGTCCTCGAAGGATACCACATGTGTTTCTGATCATTGACAGTTTCATGGCGCTTGTCCCCGGTTTTATCTGCTGTTGCGAAGTCGGTTCACTGTTTGACAGGGTTGTGAAGACGACCTGAGTCAGCGGCAGACGCCAACAGAGAGAAGTCGGAGAGATGGAGGTTTGGCGTATTCATGGGGAGTTGGTATTTTGGCAATCCTCAAGTCAAATTATATACATTTTACAAGAGATCACCATAAATACATATAATAAAATCACTAAAGCACCAACACAACCTGTACTAAAATTGTTTTTGGTAATCATTAAAGACAATTTGATATGTATGTATTAAAAAAGTTCAACTCATAATTGATGTTCAACCTATTTATAAATAATAATAATATTTTTGTTTTGCACATTTTGTTTGTGCTGAGTGTTTCACCATGCGACTTGAATCCTAAAGTACACACGTTTCTGAGATTCAGTCCATTATTAAAGCGGAAATGAAATATGCCGAGTGTATTTGAAAGCAGCTGCGCAATTAGTCCATGCTGGGTACTGGTCATGGATCTATAAACTGGTGCGTAGTATAATTTGGTGGGCTGTAAATGCATGTAAATGTCAAGGCAGGTTTGAACATGTTAGAAAACACGACAATGACATTTAAAAGTAATTATGGGGAATTATTTTGACAGTATTTGGAGAACTGTTGGAAATATTTGGGTTGGCAAAGGGGCGTGGCTGGCATTATGCGATGAATCAAAATATTTTGAAGGAAAAAGTATTATATTGAAAAGTATTAATTAATGTTCAAGCTTGTCGTAGTGTGCACACGGACTAAAACAAGTTTAACATACCCTCAAAAACTGATATCTTCGGTTGTCACAATGCAATCTTGAGTTTTAACGTCACTGCGCTAGTTAGAAACCAAACCAACCAGGCTTCATTCCTGGACACATCAGATGTAAAACAAAGACGTAAGGAAACGCATCACTCACAGGCGAGCTCCAGGGCCACTTTTCTCCAATGATAGCTCTTATTACGCATGATGCCTTCGTTGTTGTTGCTCTTTGCGCAGAGAAGTCATTAGTAGGATGTTTTTGTGGGACTTTTGATTTCAACAGACACAGAATTAAGTAATCTTTTTGTTTGTGGGGAGAGGATTTAACAGGTGAGGTGTTTTCCTTTACATTTAGAATTTTTGAATAGGGAACTTTGGGGCAGGGAATACTTTTTAACTATAAGACAAAAGAGAATGTAGTGTATCATATTGGTCTACTCTATCATCTTCATATTCTACCCAGATACTGCTAGGTTTTGAAACTTGAACTCTTGAAAGATTATATTGTTAAATTGTGTGGTTCTAGTCAGGCTAGACATATTATTGGTCTTCTTAGAAATATAATATATAAAAAACAAATCTATAATCCCTGTGAGACAACAACTTTAAATGTGTATGGACTAATTTGCTAACTTTTATTTAAAAAAAATCAAACTCCAAAGGAATATTTAGTCTCATATGTGAGATTGATCACCGGCTATGACAACTGGTTTGGTGAGGAGCTACACCTTGCACAGTTCTCAGAGGAACCTGTTCTGCCAGCAGAGTGCTGTGCCCAAAGTCACAATCAAAGATGAAAATGATTTAAAGTTTTATGTTTGATTTAAATCGGCTTCTCCTATGCTAGGACACTCTTAAAGCTGGGGTACTTAACTTTCAAACAACAACAAAATAGCCAAATCAATCAAACTAGTTCCTCGCTTCAAAAATACTGGTTCTGTCCCTAGTTTTCACATAGATGCATTTTTGGGCCTCAGTCACATCTTAACATCAGCTTTTTCAGAGAGGACCCCTCTCACTTTGCTCAGCTCTTACCCCTACGTGTCAAATGGTGACTCCCAGGGCTCATTCTTGCAAGTATGCAAAAGATCAAATGTTTTCTAGTTAGAGAAAGACGGGATGTTGTGTTCAGATTTGACTTTTACAGGACTCTTTCAGTAGGGACAAACAATGTATTTGGTAGATAAAAGTACAAGCTGTACTATGAGAAAATATTAAAGATATACTATTGTATTCCCTTAGTTTCACCATGAGGGATCGACTGAGCCACCTCCAGGAGATCCAGTCCAATGGGCAGATGGAGATGGAGCAGATGGAATATGCCGAATCGGTTACTTCAGACGCCTTCAGCAACGTGGACCTGGAGGAGGAGCTACCTCACGAGGCCATAATCTTCGACAACAGTCCTGCCTTGGGCGAGGTCTTCTCCCAATCGCAAGACATCCACAGGGAGATCCAGCTCATTCGCTTGGAAGTGAAGCGACTTCGGGAGCAAAATTCACGAATCCTGCAGGGCACCTCCACAATGAGCATGATCAAAAGAGACTCCAACGCCATAGGGGCCGACATCAAATCCAAAGCTGAGAACGTACTATCCCGTCTACAAGCTATGGACGGAACAGCGCACAAGTTGGAAGAACAACATGGAGCGAACTCGGCAGTCACCAGAATCGCAAGAACGCAGTACGCTTGTCTCAGCAATGGCTTCCGTGATGCCATGTTCGACTACAACGAAGCCGAAATGAGCCACAGGGAGAACTGTAAAGCCCAAATTCAAAGGCAGATGGAGATAGTGGGGCGCGAGGTGACGGGAGACCAGGTGGAGGAGATGATTGAGACCGGACAGTGGAACATCTTCGCCGATAATGTTTTGAGTGAGGGCAAAACAGCCCGGTCTGCTCTGTCCCAAATCGAGAAACGTCACCAGGAGTTGGTGGATTTAGAGAACCGAATTCAAAGCATACATGAGATTTTTCTAGACATTGCCTTGTTGGTGGAAGAGCAAGGGCCTATGATCACCTCCATTCAAACTAATGTGCAGAAAACTGACGAGGACATTCAAGTGGCAATAGTGAAGCTGGGGCGTGCCAAGAAACATGACAAGGACAATCCTTTTAAAAAGATGTTCTGCAGCTGCTTTCCATGCTATAAGTCATAATGCAGCACAACAATTAAAAGCAGCAATTTTATATTGATTAAATCCTTATTTTATTTTTCTCAAATGCCTTACCTAATGCAATCTTTCAGTTTTTTGTGATTCATTGTGGATTATTCCTTAATTCAATCTAAAATGTTTTACTAAAATAACTTGAACTCCCTAAATTAACCCTAACCTTAACGCCAATATTTACTATCAATAATTGAAGCTTTTTGATCACTATATCAAGGATGTACTGTAATGGAAATATTTTAAGATTTTTGACAATAGTGTAAATGTCTCTCATTATTTATCTTGCATTGCATTTTATTGTTGTATACCTTTTTTGTAATGCAAACATTAAATAAAATGCTGCATTCTTCTCATGTTTGACAACTTGGTGAGCACTTGGCTTCACCTCAGTTTTCTGTAGCCTAGTATCATTAGCCTCCAACTCAAATCAGCTGAGCAGGCCATTCTGACAACACAGAGAGACAGGTCTATCGGCGCTACACTCTACAAGTACAAGTTGCAAAAGGATTTTCCGTAACCTCGTCCATAGAGTTGTTTAAAATGAGTGAGCAGGAAGTAATGGTTTGGTGGGAGGGCTAACTTGTGGCTCCAGACAGTCAGCTGGGAGGTGAAAGGTACATTCACAAACCACACAGCAGCTCGAGTCTGCAACATATCACCACAATCAAGATATATTTGTGTGATTTTAGATATGTAAATAAGTCTGTTGGCCCCAAAAAAGGATAACACTGAACTTTTGGATCCCAAAGCTGCAAGTTGACAACATAAAAGGTAAGATGAAAGAAAACGAGTGTGTGTGCTACTGATTGCTGATGCTACAAGCGATTGTTCTTGACCTATTTTCAATGATATCTACATCATATTTTTGAACATGTTGATTTGGCCACACATACTTTAAAGAAGATGCTTATGAAATAAGTCTGCACTTCTGTGGCAAAAAGTATAAATACTAACAAATATATGAGCGCTTCCTTGTTCCTCCATTGCGTTTTTGTATTATCATGGGCACAAAACAAGTCTTTTATCACATTTGACAAGTTTCCCCACCCATTCTAACCTGCCTGCACACTTTGCTCAGAGATCATTGAAGCATCAACGCAAACAGAATCTGATGCTTTATCTGTCTCTACTCTGCTCTCTGCATGACACATTTATCTCACCTGTTTTTCTCTTTTCTTCAAGATTAAGCAACGATGCGGGACTTGATGGAAAGGCTGCACACAGTCCGTGAGGAGCAGGAGACAGAGTTTTATGAACCTGACATTCAGAATGAAGATGAGATGACGATGTCTCATGAGGCTGTTGTGTTTGATTCACCCTCTGCTCTTGAACAGACTCTCAAAGAGGCTTATTCCATTCGAAAAGAGATATCATTGCTCCATTTTGAGGTGGAACGCCTGAGTTCCCACAATCAACGCTTTGGCACATCAGTACGCCGTCTTACTTTGCTGAAAAAAGACTCAGAATCCATTGCCAGGGGCATTGTCCAAAGAGGGGAGGTTCTGTATCACCGCATACAGGCCCTGGGTAAGAATAGCAGACAGCTACAGGAGATGGAAGGTTCACACAGAGCGGTCAGTCGCATTGCCAAAACCCAGTATGACATCCTCACACGTGCTTTCCATACTGTCATGAATGATTACAATAAGGCAGAGATGATGCAGAGGAGTATGTGCCGTGGTAGAATTAAGAGGCATGCTTCTATCCTGGGGACAGAAATCACAGACCTGCAGTTGGACGATCTGGTGGACAAAGGAGGAGAGGGTTGGGCAGAGTTATCCCAGAGTCTGCAAACTCAGGGGGGGCGCTCATCCCGCTGGGCCCTGAAGGAGCTCCAGGGCAGGCACAAGGAGCTGCTTGAGCTTGAGTCCAGGCTGAAGCAGATGCACGACCTCTTTTTGCAGATGGCCATCCTGGTGGAGGAGCAGGGCAGCATGATCAACAGCATAGAAGCCAATGTAACACGTACCCAAGAGTATGCGGATAGAATTAATGTCCAGATGAAGAGGGCGTTGAAATATAAGAGGAAGAATCCTTTCCTTCAGTGTTGCCCCTGGTTGCCATGTTGGAGACAAGACCACAAAAGTTAATATAAGAATCTATTTAAAGTACTTTTGTTCTACTGTTTTAGATTTCTGATGATTGTGTACCACTGCATCTTTATTAGATCTAAATACTTTATGCTTTTTTTAAATGTTGTAGTAATCTATTTAATTGCGTACATGTAGTGATCACAAGACGTATGTTTGATCTGTGTTTTTAAAAATAAATAATTATATTTTAAAATTATAGCTTACTATACTATACAACTGGGGCCATGTTGTGAAATATTTACATTCATCCATGGATGTAGATTCAGCCACACACTTGGCTGAATCTACATCCAACCTAAACTACTACACTGCATTTCTCGTCAAACACTACACTTTTTCACAACTGCCTGGAAATATTTTAGCACTATTTTGGCACTGATGATGAATAATGCATGTGGTTATTTCGTCTTAAATATATCTGTAATCTGAATTTCACTAAGTGGTTGTTTTGGGACATGGTGTTCGGGTAGGCTACAATAAACCGCTAGATGGAGGCATTTTCTCATAAAGTGGACTTGTGTGTTCATATGTTAGTAGCATTCATGGCACAAAAATACACACCAGAGGAGACGGCAACATCTCTAAACTTTCAGCTGACTTTATTTAGAAACATCTCCACGACCCACCGTTACCACTACTTTCGCGACGCTGGAGTTGGTCAAACTGCTGATTTTTGTAGCGCATGCAAATTGTTCTTTATTTCTTCGTTTGATTGTGTCCTTATTTTAATTTGACATGCTTTGCTACTTGTTGCTACGTGAACGCATGCTAGTTTTTAGCTTAAAGCTAGCGGCTAATGCTAACTATTTGCAGCGTAACTGATTGACTGCGTGTTAATTGTAACCATAGATCAAAATTCTGTAAATTAAAAGAACAGTGTTTGGATTTGATTAATTGTACCTGAATTAACTGTGCGCGCATGTCTTGTATCTTTCACTAGCGATAACCCTATTTTACTAGTTGGGCTAACGCAATTTACGTGCGAATTTACCAAATGCCATGTTACGTTAACATATTGCGTGTCTCCATTTGATGCTGTTATCATCTAAAACAAGTTGGGATACACAATTTTGTTGTCCTAGACACCGATATGTAGAAAAAATGTCCCATATTGGATTGTATAAACCAGGATGGCCGAGTGGTTAAGGCGTTGGACTTAAGATCCAATGGACAGATGTCCGCGTGGGTTCGAACCCCACTCCTGGTAAAATCTTTTGACACATTTTTCAGCTTTAAAATTATTCAGTGACAGATATATCACTAAAGATGTAGCTAGATGGTTGCATTAGTGCGCGTGTAATCTATTTAGCGAAATAGTCTGCCACATCTGTGTAGTTGTATGATGTGATTTCAGTTTACGACACAAGAGGGCAGTCAAATATAACTATAAATAACCCGTGTGCTGGACGTTCATTTTATGTTTTTGTGCGAAATAAAACTTGAATTAATTTCCTAAATTATGACGACGATTACATTAAGATTAAGAGATCCTTTTATTTATTTTATATACATAAGATAAGATAGACTTTCTAGACTTTGATCATAATAACAAAATATGTGTAGTTTATGTGTGTTTTCTAGTTCATCTCGATTGCAATGTGTACGACCTTTAAGGTTGAAATAAACTTGGATTGTTGAATAATCGTTATTGTCATTATCATAATCAATTTTAACTATAACTTTCATACAATATCTGAGTATGCGTTTACCATTAAAAGGAAGCTCCTGGATCCTTCACCTCTGTTTCCACTGTCAGCAGCCTGTATAAGAATGTATGGGAACAACATTACCACCACTTACTCAGGTGTGTATTGAAAAATAAATAAATACTCAATATCTTTGTGTTCTGTTGGTCACGTGACAGTAACCACGCCATGTTTCCATCTTCGCGTCAGGAAAGTTTTTCGGCAAGAGGAGATAGCTTGAGACTTCTGTCATGCATCCATGAAACATTAATATATCCGGTTTACCCCTTCACAAAAAAATTAATACGCGTGCCACCACAGAGAAGGAGAAGAACTTTTACACATTTCTACTATAGGACACTATTTAATTATTTGTATTGCTGTTAATAATCTTATGTTTTGCGCCCCTTCTCTTTGGTTGGATTCGTTTGGAGAATAGCGGTCGGCTTTATTTTGAAGAGCACCACCCTGCACAAACAATAGAAACTTTCAAACTTCACTTCACCGCAAGAAGCAAGGAGAGAGCCAGCTCCAGGAACAAAGTTGTGGGACCTTTTGATACAATCGTGTAGTGAACGCGTGAAATGCAAAACACACAATAGTAAACACAGGTGGATATAGCCTTGAGGAGCTGTGTCTTTCCCGCGGCAGAAAAGAAGGAACAGGGGAGTTTCTCTACAGTGGGATGCGCTTTTCTTGAACCAAATTACAGTTTAAAAGAACATCTACAAACTCGCACATATGGCTTAAATAACTACTTGATGCTACCTTGTTATGACCTTTTGGTCCTTGGGCAGCTATACTTGTGGATTTTTTTAGAAGGCAAAACGTCCCGAGTTCACTCTCAGGTTTGTGATTTTTATTTTTTTTTAAGTTGTAAATGTAAAGAAGTAAACCGCCGTAGTACTGTAAATTTGGCTTTTTTTGTGCGAACGACGTAATTCCAAGTTTCTTTCAGATTGTTCTTTCTGAAATTGCTCAGCTGTGTTGTGAAACTTGTGGTCATACCGCATAAGTAGAATATTAACTTCATGGAGCGCCTTTTCAGCATCTGGCATTCAAACATTTCGCGAGAAACTTAAACGTATGCACAATGGTTGGTTGAAGGATAGTTTGTCTTCAGTTCCTTTTATTTTTAGGTCTTGCATCATCCTTAAAGACTGAGTGACTATTGACTGCTAGATAAAGGGTCCATAAACTCCTTTCATGGTAAAGTCAGGTCTATTGTGGGACTGGACAGATTTTGAACGCACCATACAAGTCTAAATACTCAGACCTGAATCCATTTGTTAGAAAACCTGCCAAGCGGCTTGCACTTTGACAGGACGACCTCTTTTCCTAGAGGTCAGTTTAAAATGTAAAACATGCACATCAGTAGTTTGTTTGACATTTTAAAGAAAAGCAACACAGACCAATGTGGATTAATCCTGCAAAACTTTAAGAAAGGACAGCTCACATTCTGCTCACAATATCATACATGCATTATAACCTGTACTTGGAAATCCTTTACTCAGGGGCAAATCATTTTTTATATAAATAATATATATTTATAACCCTATTTACTAGAGTTATATAGCTATGAATGCTCCTTAAGTTGACATTTCTTAAAGCTGCACTACATAATTTGTTTGTTGTTTTGCTTGGAAACCTCCACAATATGGCAGGGCATTATCCATACACATGAGAGTCACGTGATCTAATCTGGCTACCAAATGTTTTCTAAATGTTTCATGTGCAGTAAAAACACCTGTAATTGTATAGGGTGCAAGTGTTATACTGAGGTACCTTCAGGGCAATTATTATTTCTTATTTATTTTTTATTTTTCACGTAAAACATGCAAAATGGGGCGACAGTAGCTCAGTTGGTAGAGCATTGGTACAGACATTACCCTGGTCACCTGTTGGTCGTGGGTTCGATCCTACCACTACCCATGTCACCTGCTCCCACTGATGTCTGCTGTCGTTGTGTCCTTGGGCAAGACACTTAACCCCACTTTGCCTGAAGTCCCTGCTGAAAGATCAAGGCTGTGTTGAAGGAGCAGCCATCTTCCTGTGGACCCACCACCTGCAGAAGGTTCAGCGAGGGACTGGTGCTTTGTGAATTGGGTGGCAGCTCTGATTGCCACCCCCTGACGCAGAAATGAATAATAAAGGGATGAAAATGAAAAAAAAAAAAAAAGAATGAACATACAACATGTTTTCATGATGAGCATCAGGGCTGTAATGATTCATTGATCTAACCGTTAACGGCTTTATTTACTGACTCCAAACTTGTATGCTTTGAGATGTGTGTCAAACAGCAGTAACTACATAATCAAATCAAGAATTGTGTGTCCAGTGTCTTCACTTCAGCTTTATCTGGGCCAAAATGACTTCCTAAATGTCTTCAAAACAATAACTAATAGAATCAGTAGTAGGATTTATCATCAAAATGAATAGTTAGTTGCAGCCCTTTTACTGTAAGTATTGGGCATATGATGCACTGCCTTCTATTATTGTCTTTTGTCTGTTTTTAAGGCGCAGTGAACGGCTGATGCGAGTTATGATTAAGTTGTTTTGGAACCCTATTAATTAGTCACCCAGCCCTACTGTTTTATTAAATTAAAACCACTGTGTTTTCCATTTCAGGTGGAGAAAGATTGAGTTGGCTGTTCAAGGGCCTCGCACCACTTTTTCCCATCTGACATCTTGGATTAATTGAGTGCCATGGCAACACAGGGAAACAAGACAGAAGGAGGAACGGACGAAGAGTTTAATGACATAATCAAGTGGAGATCGGGTACGTGTTTGGCGACTACTGTAGAACTGTTGATTTCTGCAAGGCAAGTTTATTTGTATAGCACAGTTCATCCGCAAGGCAACTCAAAGTGCTGAACAAAACAAGATAAAACCATTACACAAGGCATTAAAATAATAAATAATCTAATAGTAAAAAAAGTAAAGATGCAATCCTTGAATTGTATGAGCAGCTAAACAGAACATGTCAGAGTAGAAGCTTGTCTCACATTTTCAAGAAGACTGTTCCAGTTGGTTCATATGGCACTAACATGTCATGGATGTACTTTGATGCAAGGCCATGCATGGAGAGAACAACCTTCAGTTATTTGCCATTTGCAGTAAAACTACATTGGAATAATACATTTGCGAAAGTCCCCAATGTGCACAAGTACAGGAATCAAAATACACTTCTTAAAGACTTATTTTTATAATGATTAATGGTGAATATTCTCGTCAATATACAAGGTTCTGGATGTTCTCTCCTTTTTAACCTTGAAACTATTGATAAGGAAACTTGGCTTTTTTCTGATGTTTAAATAGAAGTCATAATTTCTCTCCTTCTACTGTTGGAAGCTTTTGTGGTTCATTCACATTGCGAGTCACTAAAGGAAACTCTGATCTGGACTGAAATCCTGTTGTGCATGTTTAACCTCAGTTCCCATGGTGGTGACAGGAGAAACAGGGCCAAAGCAAGTAACAAAGGCCCAGTGAGAACAGGAGATCTCTCGGTTGTAATGTGCTGCCTTGGAGAAAAGGAAAGTAACAGTAAAGGTGGCCAATGGCGGTGGAGGCGGTGAAAGAGAAGAATGTAGGGATGGCTTTGAAAAAGGCCACACCCAGACTTTCTCAGCAGATCATTGCATAGGTTAATCTTTTGTAGACGAGACCCACACACACAGCAACTCTGAGACAAGCACTAAGCCAAAATTAGTTCAAGATTAGCAAAGTCGCATACCGTACAATTTATGCATTTTTGGCATTTTCCTATTTAGTCTCTCCAAGTTTGTGTACAAAATGTAGGTCTTCTTATGCCATCTTTCCTTGCACAACCACCTAGAGACCTGGCAGAGGCAGTGCCAGGAATTCCACTGCTTCGATACAGTTTGTAATTTAACTACATCCCAGATCCAAACCACAATCCTTTTTTGACACTCATCACATTGCAGTTATGTAGCAACCAAAATGATTTGTAGGCGATATGGGGACAACTATGCACAAAAGATATTGTTTTTCTTGAAATATTTCTTAATTTGGTCTAATATTAGTATCGTTATTGGTCTGTTGTTATGTATGTATGTTATAAATTCCTGGACAATGATGTTATTTGTGTGACTTATTAGGACTTCAGCTGGTGTCATTGTTTGTGTCTCTCCATCCCCTTTCAAAAATTTCTAAAGTTAAAGTGGGGGTAAAATTTTTTTTTGTTATGGATAAGAAAGAGTAGAAAAGTAAAATGTTGTGAACAAACCACACCACCACACGCTGTCTTCATCTTGTTATAAAACATGATATCTTTTTCATAACTGGTAAGTCTCTGACACCTGGGCTGTGCGATGATTGGCTGAGTGAAAGTGGTCCCCTCTTTATCACCTTTCGGATCTAAAAATGTGATACAGGCCAAAAATACATGTACAGTATGTGAAAAACAGTAATAGAACTAGTTTAGAGCCACCACCTAAGCCCTATTTCCACCAGCCCTACTTGGCCCTACTCAACTCTCCTCTGCTCAGCTCCACTCTACCTGGTTGCGCTTCCTTACGCTTTTCAATCTGGTACCGTAAGCTACCCACAACAAATCATGGCCTCCAGCAGCACTCTGGCCAATCTCTCTCAGTTAGAACAATTTTGTGTTCTTGTAAGTACTAAAATAGTACCTGGTACCGGTTAAACAGAGCCGGTGGAAACAATCAGGTCTTTTTTCTAGCCTGATTGGGAGCCAAGCCCTACTTGGCCCTATTCTACAGTAGAGTAGGGCCAAGTAGGGCTAGGGGAAAAGGAGCAGACAGATAGTATTACAAAGAAAACAGAACGGTGGAAAATCTCTCATAAAAACAAAACAAAACCCTGCTACGTATGAACAGGTCCTAAACTACTAAATTACAGAAATGACCAACCAGCGCTAATGTAATTGTGTCACTTTTCCCTGTCTACCCATGGATCTATTGTCTACCCCTCCCCACATATTCAGGTGTTGAGACCAGTGTGAAGAGTCAGGTATAGCTGTTGTTTAACTTAACTGGAGACGCATTTTCTCACAAATTCATCTGCCCCTTGAGTTCCTTCTTGTAAAAATATGTATATGTATATCTAGTTTCCTGACCTAAGCCTCTATATTGTACTTACCTTACAATTTTGTGCTTTGAGAGTAATCATGTTGGATTTGTAAATTAACCAGTTGTCTGGATAGGAATGTGTTCTCCACAGATGGGAGTGGAGTGCTCGTATTAAATGTCACCATACTTGTCCAGCTACATGTGATCATAGACGCTTGTGGTGACCTATAATTTCCTTGAGTCTGGCATTTTTTTATACTTATATTGAAAATGGACAAAAGGAGTTTAAAAATGTGGCTTCTAGCTGGTAACGGATGCAGGTTTACAAACGTATATCTTGAAGGAAACCTGATGATGCTGCTATTAATGCAGGTGTAATGCAAATGAAGCTGAAACAACAGTGTCGTTAAACTATTATTAGATTAATCTAGTCATAAAAGTACACTACTGGCATTTGAATAAGTGCTCATAGGCGGCCTCATGAAGAGAACAAAAAGCAGACATTCAGCCAGTTTGGAAGTGTGTTAAATAGTTTTATATGCATATCAATTGTGAAGAGAAGCACTGTTTGTATCCAGAGTTTTCACTAAATAGTAGAAATAGACTTTTATACTGTGGGATTTCCCTTTCTGCAGAAACATAATTTAGTGAAAACAAATTTATCATTACCAATCAGACACAGAGACACACACAGACGCACTCACACATACAGTGTCTGTCCTCTTTCTCTACTTACTTAGAATCCCACCCATATAATTTGTTTTGTACTATTGACTCCATGCCACCTCTATGCTCTCATGAATGGAGAAGCAGCACGCCTCCTATGGGAATGCTGTTGGTGTTGTGTAGTTATAAATATCCAATAGCCTCTTTACTAGCTGCAGCTCATGCCGACATCTTGGAAAGTGGGTGGAAAATAGTAGCTGGAACTTTTGGGAATGGAAAATGTGGCTCAAAACGTCACCCTTGGGTGGAGTGGACTGTGGGACCAAGTGCCTCAGCCGTATATGAGTGTTCTTTTAACTCCACTCCACCCAGTCAACGTGACATTATACTTGTGGATTTTGCTAAAATGATGTGTCTCATATGCTCTTGAGGTTGTTAAATGAGAGGAGTCTGTGTTCTGAGGACCGGCCTGAAAGAGTTGCCTACCACTGTGAGACCTGCTCATTAGAACTACAAATCCCTGTTGGCAAATCTTACCTTCTGACCTCTCGCATGACAGGATTTACCACAACAGAAAATAGGCTGAGGCCCAGACACAGACTAGATTAACTCTTAAAGCTCCAGGGGCACCCATGCTTCTTATATCTATCACTTTTTATAAAACAGAGCCAGCCAGAGGCCTATAGAATAACAAAGATTAAATAGACTTTCTGTATGCAGCCACCGTGGATAGCACTCTCGCCTCTCAGCAAGAAGGTCCTGGGTTCGAATCCCGGTCGGACCAGGGCCTTTCTGAGTGGAGTTTACATGTTCTCCCCGTGTCTGCGTAGGTTTCCTCCGGGTACTCTGGTTTCCCCTACCACTAAAAATATGTACAATAGATCTGGCATGCGCCTCCTGTTCGGCGACCCCGCTCCCATCTCCGTCTGGAGTGAGAGGACAATTGCCCAAAAAAATAATAACAATTGTAAACCGCTTTGTGACCCTTGTCTGTGAAAGGCGGTATATAAATAAACATTACTTACTTACTTACTTACTTACTGTAAAGGTCACAATTTTTCAAAACTACTTTTTTGGGTGATGCAAGTCTTAACTGATCAAACACAGTCAATCACTTAAGGGTAAATCATTATTACATAACATTTTAATGACAAGAACAGCAAAGTAGCAGGATGTTCAGAGCCACGAAACAGATCCTAGCAACAAATGTATGTTTTATTTATTGTCTTTAAGTAAGTATGCTTTCCATAGAAATCAGATTTAGCACATGTATGAGTCTGGTTTATGGAGAAGAACCACAAAACAATTCAATTCTAAACATGTTTATAGAAATGTTAACAGCAGCGTATGCACAAACAACTATAGAATAAGTTCAATATAATATATCACACTGAAGGTATTTTTATTTTCTCCCCTGAGGAGAATATTTGCTCTAAAATAATTGTTTTGATCTTTGAGCATCTGGGTTAAAACTATTGCATATTAAGCTCTGAATAAATATGTGATGTTCCAGTATTTTCAGTGTTTTTGGTCCACTGGTTGATGTTGATCTGGAAAGTCCCTCTCAGTCCACAGCTCGTAACCAGCCTCACCCTGACTTCAGTTCTCTCTCAGTAGCTTTAAATCCGCTGCTGTGACATCTATAAAACATAAAGCTTTACTCAAGCTCAGTTACATCTCACTTGGGTGAGAACTTGTTAAAATGCATCTTGAAAGTTTTTGGTGGGTGTTTGTGGTTGACTTTTATACTGCTGTTAAAAATCTTTTAAGCTATGTCTGTAATTTGATCTCTTTTGAATTCATAAACGGAAATCTCAGTTATGTCACTGTTTCAGTTAGACTGGGGGGGTCTTTCTCACCTCCTGATCCCCAACCAAACCTCCCTTTGCACTTCCTCTTTCACTCTTTCTCTAGTACCGTCTTTCTTCCTGTTTCCGGCTTACAGTTTGTTTTATGTTATATTTGTTGTGTGAACATTTCTAAGATGATTAAAAGTAGATGGTGGTCCTGGCGAAAACGTCCTTTTAGAAAGAAAGGTAAACGGGAGCAAAATCTAGGTAAG